AGCAGTTATTGTTTCACGTTGTTGGCTATTGGTTTGTTCCAGGTGCGTTATTTCTGATGCGTAAAGGGTTCGGTGCAGGTTACTGATGAATGGTGCTATGTGCAGGCGAGAGGGATCCTACCGAACTTGCAAGATGTCCCCTCTGCTCAACCCGGTACGACGCGGATATTCTACGCCCGAACGCGCACGTCCGGTCCTATCAAATGTAACGTCGGCTGGGACCCTCTCCCCCTCCCCACCCCTCCCACCCCCGACTTCGACTCAGACCCCCTGCCAAACACGGACCAAATGCTGCTCGATTTCTTTCGCTTCTACGGCTACGAACACGACTACGCGAAGGATATCGTCAGTATCAGGTTGGGAGGGATTGTGGAGAGACAGAAGGCTATCAAGTTGGAGGGGAAGAGGCCGAGGGAGGTTGCGGGGAGGTTGGGGGTTGTGCCGTTGAGTGGGCGTGAGGGTGATGGGGAGCGGTGGGACGAAGAGGTGGAGGCGGAGGCTGGGGCGAAGAAAGGGAAGAAGGATGGGAAGGGCAAGGAGAAGGAGAAGGCGGAGGTGGTGGATGAAAGCGTCAGCGCAGAAGCTATTGCTGAAGTCGAAGCCGAAGCACACGCCGTCCAGGAAGACGCCGCCCCCGCTTCAGAAGGTGGTGATCCGGCAGAAGCGGAAGAGAGCGCCTCAGAACTCGAAGATGAAGAAGCCGAGCGCGCCAGCACACCGAGCGTTCTCTCTCAACGTTCTCTCGAGCAATGGACAGAGAAAGACGAGAGGTTATCCAACATCCAGCCCGAGCTCTGGCGCTCTCACGCTATGGTCGTCGCAGACCCGTTCATTCGCTCAAAGGTACTTTCCCACGTCCACAGTGTTTAAAGGCAGTCTTGCTCACGCGCGCGCCAGAACACAGCAGGCAACATCAAACCCGACTCCGTCCTCCGCTTCCGCGCCGAATGCCAACGCGCATACACAATGCTCACGGAGTACCACCGCGACCGCTCGCAAGAACCACAACAAAGCCCGAGTCAAAGTCAGAATCGAAAACAAAGTCAAATTCAGACGCACTTCTTGGGCGATATCAATGCGCTGTATACGCTGCTGACGCCGCACGAGGAGGGCGAGGACGTGTTGCCGAATGGTCCGCTGCCGCCGTTACCTGAGAAGCCGGTGCCAAAGAGGAGGAAGGGGCCCGGGAATGGGGATGGGAAAGGCAAAGAGAAAGAGAAAGAGACGCGGCAACAGCAGGCGAACGCTGTGGCGGGTCCGTCTACCGCTGCTCCTGCGCTCCCGCCACCACCTCGAGTGCGCTCCCCGGAACGTGCTGCAACGGCCGGATCAACATCTCGTGCAACGCCGAACACTTCTGCGCCTCGGACTGGCCCTCCGAAACGCAAACCGACGAACTCACGGGCGCCAGCCGTAGCTGCAAGGTCGGAGCAGACGCATCTGGGTGGCCAAGCTCAACCGCAGGAGCAGTCGAATGCTTCGGGCTCACGACAAAGGCAGTTGAGAGGACGACCCAATGCGGGTGGAGGAAGAGGGAGGAAGCGGGGGCCTGATGGGGATATGGCGAATGCCCAGGCGTCTTGAGGCGATGTTGGCTGTCTTTGTTGTTGTCGTTGTTGTTTTCACGCTTTGCTGTTGCATCAATCATATGATTCGTACTCTGCCCGGTGTTTTCGCAGACCTGTATACTTTTGATGTGGTGGAGAGCGAGGAGGAAAGATGCATACGCGGGTTGCTACAGTATAGCCCTGATGAAGCAATAGGGTTAGGGTTAGCGCTGATGTGACGCGCTGCGGCGCCGCTGCCACTCGTTTTCGAACGGCGACGACGCGGTCATCCTTGATTTATTGACGCGACGCCTTCATGTAGCATTCGTATTGGGCGAAGGGCTTGCGCATAGCCCCAGACTGCACGCAATACCGACTGGTACGGTGTACCGCCATCATGTGGGCCAGCGCTAGCGACTGGCGGACCGCGAAAGATACCGCGCGGCGCGGCCTTCCCTGGCCTTCGGTTCTTCGTCATGGGCACGATGACCTCTTAAAAGCGATTGACAGGCATGATTCTGTAGCTCTGATGTGGATGCCCAACTCTATGGCTTGAACATTGAACCTTTACGCTGATGCCGCATGTTACCCGCCTTCTATTGGCCGTCCCGTGAGCGGTCAACTGGTGGCATCTTCGTGTTGCGCTGGGGCCATGTACGTATGCGCAAGGATACCCCGTGAGTGCTTGCTACTGCTAGAAGTGAATGTCGAATGTTGACAACAGCTTCGCGCAGACGAGCCATATAATAGCTTTCAGTCATACTCATTCGCCACCCACATACCCTTCCGAGCATGACGCTTGTCGGACCCATCGGCCGCATAGGCTTTCTTGCAGCCACCTCGGTCGCTGTTCTCGCTCTTGCACCTTCGGGACCTTGGGATGCGTTCAACTTCGCACCTGAATCGCGCACAGTCGCGCCGGCTTCTGTGCGTCAAGTCAACGGGACCATCGCGAGTGCGGACGGCCTCGTCTCGAATGGCTCTGCGACGTTCTCCGCCTCATCATGGCTCACCCTCGACTTCGGTATCGAGGTTTGTCAGCCTGAAGGGACTGCAACAGACATGCACTGACGTTGTTCCAGGTCGGCGGCATCATCTCCATGTCGTTCTCGAACGCATCAGACGATGCATCCGTAGCGCTCGCATGGACAGAATCGCCGCTCTACATATCTCCCACCCAGTCCGACTCGTCTTCCAACATCGTGGCCGATAGCAACTCAGATGGCGTCTTGACCGTGTCGGCGCCCTTACCCTCAGGTGTCTGGACTCAACCCGCGCCGACGCTTCGCGGTGGCTTCCGCTTCTTGACCATCTCACTCGCGGCTGGCAGCAGTGTTACAATCTCGAACGTGTCGCTCGAGATCACGTTTATGCCGGACACGGACGACCTGCGCGCGTATACCGGCTACTTCTACGCTCAAGATCCAGGGCAAGCGGACGAGGATTTACTCACGAGGGTCTGGTACGCTGGCGCGTATACGGCGCAGACCAATATCATCGCGGTCACACAAGGGCGCGAGCAGCTTCCCAGCACGGAGGTTGGTGAGTGTACGCGGGTTGCTTGCATAGATATGTACTGATGGTCGCCAGGCTGGCTGAACAATGGGACAATCGGCTTACTTGACGAGAGCCCCGTCACTGTAGACGGTGCAAAGCGAGACAGGTCAGTAGTCATCCGCATGTTGCGATGATGGGGCTCACCAGAGGTGTAGGACCGTGTGGCCGGGCGATATGGGTATCGCCGTGGCGACCGAGTTCGTCTCGCTCGATTATCTTGATCCCACTCGTAATAGCCTCGACGAGATGTTCTCGTTGCAGAACGCATCTGGCGCCATCCCATACTGTGGACCAACGATCAGCTGCGGCTTCCAGAGGTACGTGTCGTAGGCTATATCGCGATTCGTACTGCAGCTGACACAACGGCTTCAGCATCACATACCACGAATGGACACTCTTCGGCGTGTTTAACTACTGGCTATACTCGGGCGATGTAGCCTGGGTACAGAAGATATGGAGCAACTACACCCTGGGTCTCCAGTACCTTGCCAACAAGATCGATGCCACTACCGGACTCCTTGACTCGACGGGGCAAGAAGCTGACTGGGGTCGCAACGGTGGCGGCAACTTCAGCATCTCTCCGAACGTTCTGTACTACAAGGTCCGCCCGTCTCCTCCCCGACCATCTCCCTGTCGCTGACCGATTGTGTCCAGGTTCTGTTGAACAGCATCACTCTTGCGAACGCGTTGAACGATAGCACATCAGTCGACGCGTGGGCCGCAAACGCCACGGCGTCCAAAGCGGCGATACAATCGCAACTCTGGATGGACGGCGTGGGTATGTTCCGCGATAACACCACGACAGATCTGGCACCTCAAGATGGCAACGCGCTCGCGCTCCTGTACAATCTGACCATCAGCGACGACCAGAAGCAGTCCATCAGCAAGGGCCTGACTGCGTTCTGGGGTGCGACGGGAGCTGTAACTCCGGAGAGGCTAGACACGATCTCGCCGTTTGTAGGCGGCTTTGAGGTACGTACGCGCGCGCTTCATGTTACAGCCCCACAAGTCATGTGGCCGTGTTTTTGTCGGCGTAACTTGTGGTTCGCGTCCGACTCGTCACAGCCGGCATGCTGACTCCCGCCTTCAGATACAAGCACATTTTGAGGCCGGCCAGGGAGAGCGTGCACTGGACCTGATTCGCCTCCAGTGGGGATACATGATGACCACCAATTTGAGCGTGCAGTCGACACTTATCGAGGGTTATCTCATCAACGACTCTCTGGAGTATGGGGTGTATTTGAGCTCAATTGTTGCATAGTGCTGACGGCGATATGCAGGTACTACTACAGCGATGGCGCTTACACGTCTCATGCGCACGGTTGGAGCACGGGTCCAACCTCTGCGTTGACGTTCTATCTGGTCGGCTTGCAGCCCACCGGTCCACAGGGCCAGACATGGCAGGCCGCACCACAGCTCTCAGGTCTGCCTGCCGCCCAGGGTAGCTTCGAGACTGGCCTTGGCACGTTCGCCGCTTCCTGGACATTCAGCAACAGCACGGGCTTCAACCTAGCACTCAGCACGCCAGAGGGTACACAGGGAACAGTTGTATTGCCCGTCGCGGGATCTGTGACCGTGGACGGACAGAGTCAGGGCAAAGTGACTAGCCTGTCACTCGCAGGAGGTGAACATACGATCGCCGTGGACGTTTCGGCATGAGTTGTAGAGCATGCAATATATTTCAGTTATCCTCTATGGACCATCCCATTATGAAAGCAGTATTTCCAATCAAAGCGATCGAGCATGTGTGATCGGTCGAAAACAAAACAATTATAAGTACAGCACCTAGCAAAACGCTCCAAATAAAGCGAAAAACAGTCAAGCCGACCTCTCGCTCTCCGCCTTCTGCTTCTGCTCCAGCATGCGCCTGCGAAGACATCAGATGCGCGTAGGTCGGAAATTGGAGGGAACGTACTGCCGTGCAGCCAGGATCATTTGCTGCTTTCTCTGTCGTAAGCTGGCTTCCCGCTTTTCTGCGGTATCCTCCCACGCAGCCTTCCCTCCCGCATCAATAGTGGCGGATACAGCGGTGTCTAGCTTGTCCTGCAGACCGTACCGCTGGATGAGAGTTTCGCGTGCCTTAGCACTGCTCGTCGTTGCGATTCCTGGACGTGCGGCGGGGCGAGCGGGTTGTGCTGGTGCGTTGGTGGATGGATATAAAGTGAAGTATGCGGGTGGAGGCTATGGAGAAGATCGACTCGGTTTCGTGAGCAACATACGTTTGCCACGTACTGCTTCCAGGAAACCACGTTCAAGTATCTTGGTGGCGGTCTGCTCTGCCGATCCTGTCCGCAGTAGATCATAATGTACATTCGCCCTGCAGCCGTATCAGACATGACTGAGATGAATCGCGCTGTCCCAGTTACCTACCGCGGTATATCCGGGAACATGGTTGTGACATTGTCAATCTACAACTAGTTAGCCCAATTCACCACAATATAGACACTACGCACCATTTCTGGCGTAACGCGTTTTGGCTTGAATTTGAGCGACCGAGCCGCCGCCTGTTCTGGCGTATCTTCTCCTGCACAGAAATTCGACGCTTCAGATACTGCACCCTACCAAATGGTCTATGACGCACCGCTCTGTGTGGCCCATCGTACAACGAAGACGATCACTACTAGCGCGACGACCACGTTGACCACCTCAGCCATGTTCGTAGATAGTCGTATAGGAGCAAAAGGAAGGAGACTGAGTTATTCGCTTCGGCGAGATGGTGGTGGCGATCCTGGTCCAGAACTCGCCACGCGCTGAGCGCGAGCGTCACTGTTCGGCAAAACCCGCGCGGCGCGCGCCTATCGCACGACGCTTTGAGCACGAAACTTGCCGAAGACCGTCGTCCTCGTCAAGCTGCAGTATACGAGTCTCAAATACACTCTAGCCCTTGACTCGATCTTCGCATGGGGCCTGACTGGAGCTACGTCAATGGCATCCTCTTGCGTGTACTTTGCCATGACTTCGGGGAAAGGGAGTCGGGAAAGCCCTCATGGACATCGCCCATGACCTGGCAGCGCATTCTGCCTTGGGCAGTTTCAGTCGTCGTCCAACGGCTACATTGTTTCTCGGAGATGGAAAGTGTAACACAGATAGCTAACCAAAATACATTTAATCGCCAAGAGGCGCGCTTCCTGGTTCTTGATGTCATTCACACAGTTCAATCGTCCCTCGCAGTCATGAGGCGGTGGATGGGTAGCGCTCTCGTATCGCCGCCTGTTGCAAGCATCGATACTGACTCGGCTGTACAGCACATGCTATCTGTACACCGTCTACCGTATGACGATGGGCTTCCTTGGCGCTTATGTGCCTGTCAATGCATTGTGTTGACCCTGTCACCACGGTGGCTTCTTCTGCACATCGTGTACCTTACATCTTTAGGCGCTCAGCTCACACGTGTTTCATCTTGCTTACCTTTTGCGTTGCGCGCAACCTCGTGATCGTTGTCATCGCACTTACTACAAGGTATTTCAGCTTGATGATCTAACCTTGCAGTGCGAATATGAGGCTCGTTGCAAGGCTTCACATGGCCTTGTACGTAGCTTCGGACCTATGGTCAGTCAGCGCGCTGTATGTGAGAGCAGACTGGTAGAACCGCCATGGACAAGCGCTGACTTGCACTCGAAGTTCCCAACGCGCTCAGACATACGGAGATAGCCGTGCGACTGCGGTTGTCTTTACTGCCTCCAGCCATACAGGCCTCCCGGAAACGACGATAACAAGACCAATCCCGCCGTTCCCCGCCTTCATAGCGCTTCGCATGGCCGAACTGTCCAGGTTATATCCGGATGTCTTGACTAACGTACGATCCGACGTGCTGAGAACATAGTCAGAGCTCGCTAGGTCAAGACCCGGACAGATATGGGCGATGGCTTGAAGGAAGGCTCTACCCTGAACGCGTGGTGACCATGCCATTCAGATGTAAGCACCCGTGCTACCCGTGAAGCGCCGGCGAGAAGAGCGCGCTCTCCGAATCCACCTGACTTTGTCCCAGATTGGTATGCCGCCCAACGCGAAGACGGATTTCGTATCTGCTTCTATCCTTCTGTTACGCACCATGCTCGGAGCAACACTTCGGTTGAAGCTCGTGCCCTCGGTGTGCTGCCTCAGCGTTCCAATTTGTGAAGGTATAAATGGTAGGTCTGGCAACCAACAGACAGCAGCTTCAGTTCACGTATCTCCCAGGTTTACGGCAGCATCCATATTTTCTCCCAACATGCGTTCCTCTACATTTGCTCTCATCGTTGCCTCGCTAGTCATCGGCTTCCCTGCCGCATTGGCTGCCGGGCCACGTCCTGAATGCACTTGTAAGGATGTTCATCTAGCACTGATGGATAGCCACTTACTCACTTATCGCCGCAGATCAAGTCAACAACATCAAGTACGACGAACCTTACCCTGTTTGCTGCAACATCACTGCTCACTGCTCAAAATTGACCAAGATCCACCGATACTTGCGCGTCAGTTTCGGCATGGTCTACCGTTTCTGTACAGACCATCGAGAAGCTCAACCCGGGTATCAAGTGTAAGCCTGATGTTGCAGAGACCTCCCTGGTAACTAACCCGATCACAGGTGATACCCCTGGCATGGGCGTGTCTTCTCTTTGCCTGCAGGGTAGGTGCTCTTTCTCGTTATGTCGGTTCAATCACTGAGAGTCCTATTGCAAATGCTCAGAGATAACGCTGCCTTGTACCCTCAACGCCACAGCTTGGGAGTCGAAGTGCAACGATCTTGCCTCTGAGTACCAGCTCAGCGTCGACCAGTTCGTTCAACTGAACAACAACGTAAATGATGCGTGTAGCAACCTCGTTGCTGGCGAACCTGTGCGTCCGATCTTGTCTGCAACATGCTACAGAGCTGACAGCTTCTGGGCAGTACTGCGTCAGCACAGCTGAGTGTTATCCGGGCAACCACATCCCGTACTGCTAGGTTGGATGCAGGAGGTACAGATGGCCATAGATATCGCCTAAAGGATGGACGTGTGTAATTGTACCTTTCTCGTCCCGTGATGACGCATATGGATGAGCATGTTCGCGAATAGCCACATAGTAGTGACCATATGTCATCTATGAAGTTGACTGTCTCCGTCAATATTGTACAATGAACAGCCCACGGGGGCCGTATCTTCAGCGTTCTCTCCTCGAATAGACGCCGCTTAAGAACGATACCGGACCCTCTCGGCAGAGAGCCAGAATTGCGTCCCCCCAACCTCTGAATAACCCAAGGGGCCTATGTCACAGTCGGCGCATATCAATAGCTTGAGCGGCTTCTTTTCGTCATCTAAATGCCTAGTCAGCACATTTGAGCGTTGGAAAGACAGACAGTGGCATACCCGTCGGTGCAACAGGGCGCGAGAACCCGATGTTCTCGAACTCCATCGGGCTGGGTTCTACAAGCCACCAATGCGCAGAAGCGGGTGGGGCAGGTAACGCAGGAAGGTCTGGACTTTTGCCTGTCGGCGGATCCAACTACAGCAATACGTGAGCGTCTCGTCCAATTGGGGATCACACCGATACCTACAGCAGCAGCTTCTTTTTCTTCCAATGAAGCAACGCTCTTCCGCAAGATGACGGAACCACAGCCCGAGCGCGGGCAGAGGAGATCGTGGGCGTTACGCGTGCGCCCTGATTTCTCGTCTACGATAGAGGCCTCCGCGATGCCGCCGCTCATCTCGGACAGTAGCTGACCAGTCGGCCGAGGCTTTCTGGACGAAGCTTGTAGTGCCTCGAGGATTTGCTGTTGAGATGGACCGGACGGCGCTGGAGCTGATACTGGCGCCTCCCAGCGCATCTCGAACCACGGCCGACTACCATGATGAACCGAACTCGGCCCGACCCATTTAAAGCCGCACCCTTCGTACAATGGCCGCAACTCCTCATGGGCGATGAGAAGGACGCGATCGACCGATTTCGTTGCCGCCAGACGAGCAAGGTATTCCTTGAGTAGAGCACTGGCAATGCCCTTGCGCTTACGATCCTCGCGCACACAAACTGAATGTATACACGCAGAGCGCCCTCCGGGCTCGTGCGTGCTCATAGACGCGTGCGTGAGCGTATCAAAAGTCGAACGCGTCGCATTCACGTAGGCGACCAGGGCGCGCCCCGCATCTACTGTCGAGGCAGACTCAAAAGCGCCAAGAAATAGCTCCGGCGCGTGTGCATGGCGGTATCTAGCCGCCTATGAGTCAATGTGATCATCAAAGGCAGCGCTCGAACGTACTGGAATGTTTCCAAGGAACCAGCCTCATCTGCCGGGAAACCTGCATTTCTATTGGTCCTCAGATAATGTGACGGTATGTACGCACAAACCAACCCTTAGTCTCTATGCTGTGGGCTTCATATACCTCCGTATCCGTGAGGCTATCGAAGAAGATGTTCGGACTGGCGCTCATGGTCGTTGAGATCAAGTCAGTCGTTGATCTCTGCTCCAGGCTTTGTGAACGCAGGCCAAACACGGTCATGTGGGTTTTAATGACCGCGCGTCGCGTCAACAAAGTTTCCATCGAGCCAAATGTACCATATGTAGTTCCCACTGGCGCGCTTGTAGCACTTACTCTGGCAGTTAACTCGGAGAAAGAGAATGCTGACAGTGCATTGACGACATTATACTAGAAAGCTCATCGATACGGGTACGGTACATCTGAAGTTTGTGGGGTAAGGTTCGGCTACTATAATACCGTTACATAGCGCGCACTTCCCTCAGACGTGCCATCAAACTTTTGAGATTCGCATGTCGCTCATCATATAGAAGTTCGTCAACTTGAGGAGAGCCTCCAATGTGAAGGACGCGGAAAAAGGCATCTGGGTCCCCATTTGGGGAAGCGACGGTGACGTGCCTTAAAGCAAGGTCGAAATCTCCTAATTGGGATCTGACGCGGCTCATGGCGTCGTCAGTCTTCTTCGCCAGATTTGCACGGAGACGCAAGAATTCTTGCACATTCAAATAGCTTTCTCCGCAACACATGCTCCCTGGCAGTTCACGAAGCAGTTGAGCGGCGATCGGTATGAATGCCGGGTGTTGGGCTCCATAGCGCAAGACAGCGTCGACAAACTGTCCGGCAAAGGCCCGGTCTTTATTGATAGCGGTGAAGTCCTTGACAGCATTCATCAACGCCGTGGTGCCATCGAGGGTCGCCATAGACAATGCAGTCTCGAAGTCGGCTTTGTTGATGGCAGCGAGCAAGTGTTGTACATCCCGCGCAGAAGGAGATGCGAGGATCCGGATGGGCATGGATGCCTCGGCAATGGATGGATTAGAAGCCGCGGGTTTCTGTCCGTGGCTCGATACTGAGAGTAGCGTGGGGTTCGAAGCAACCTCAGGCACAAGGGGTTTCGGTATGGGTGCAGTTGTGTTGATGGGCTGTGACGTGTCCAGTACATGTGCCGCCACATACGAAGATACGTCTTTCTCGATGAGGGTCACTTGTTTCTTGTGTCGAATAGCCTCACGGGCGGACACGAGTGAGATGAGGTCTTCTATAGACAGCTGCTTCCCTTCGACGACGGTGAGAGGATCAGGACGCAAGCAGAGGGCGGTGAACGAGGGTTGGAGCCATTTAGAGACACCAAAGGCGCGAGCCATAACAAGCTTCTGGAGAGGCAGCGCGAGCGGGTCGAGCTTGCTGATGGCGAGAGTTCGAATGTTCCTGAATTGCCACAGCGTTGCAAGGCGCAGAACAGATTCCCAACTTTCGGCGGTCTTCAGTTCATACTCATGGAAGCTCCTGAGCTGATGATCAGTCTAGGCATCCTATATGGCACAGCGCATGCGTACGTATCGTAGAGTACTGTCAAGAGCGCATCCATATCGCGCGAAGTCACGTCATCCACCTTCATGTAAACCGCATTATCCGGTCGCTTGTCCAGCTTCTTAGACCAGAATTGAGAGTTCGCCGTGAGGATATCTTCATGTACGCGATAGATAGTCCCTTCCACCTTGCGCTCACTGTCAGCATAGTTGAGAGACACGCACAGCGGCTCGAGTCCGCATACCAGGAGAGTGGCAAGTTTTCCACTGAAGAAGAAGCGCGGATGCTTGGTCCTCTCAGGTATCGCTACTGGCGCCTCGTTGTGCCTTGCGCCATCCTTATCTTCTTCGCTCCCTGCACCATTCACCCCAGTAGATGAGGTCGACTCGATGTCAGACTCCGTGATATCGACGACTGACATGGTTTCTGAGGAGGAGGAGGACAGGCTGTCTTGAGGCTCGGCTGACCCCAACATGCGGAGATGGTTGTTGAGTACGTTGAGTCGTGAACGCGGGTCGTGTCAGGTCGTGTCGCGCGCCGCAACAGGTTGCACACGTTCTAAACACGATCATGTGAGTTCGGAAAACCGCGATCCACGCGAAGTTCATGCCAGCTCGAAATTGGACGTTCTGAAGCGGTAAAGTTGTTCAATACATCGCTTGACACTTTTATACCTGACGATTGGCTTCAACAGACATGTTTCATAGTTCAAGAGAACTACTTTAATTGCATATACATAACCTGGAGCCTTTACTTCATATACTAAGGTAGATAAGCGGCGTTCAACAACCGTGCCTCAACGAGACGATTGTAGAAGGCGTAAAGGTTTTCTTTCCGCCGCTCGTACAGTAATTCTGTGAGCCCGTAGGGACCTGTGCTGCTCACTATGGCGAAGAATGTCGCATGATCGTGGACCGTCGTAGTGACATGATGTATGGCGAGAGCGAAGTTGCTGTGGGCGTCCTGTAATCTGGCATTGTCGACCGCCCGCGCAACCTCGTTAGATAACTTCGCTAGCTCTTGGTAGAAAGATCGCAGGGTTTTTCCGCCTACGTGAGAGGGTAGAGCGGATAGTATCTTGATACCAGCGGCACCGAATGATCTATCCCGAGCACAACGGTGCAGGAGGGCGAGGATCAGGTTTTGAGAAGAGCGAGACGACTTGCAGATAGATGTATATTCTGTCAAGGCGCTGATGAATATGTGCGCGTTCTTATCCGTGATCATCTCGAGGGCAGAGGCGTAGTCGAGCCTTTGCAAGCGAAACACGAGCGAAGGTACGCTCTCAAGGGATTGTGTGGCGGAGAGAACGCGCGCAGGCTGCGTGGGCCGCTCTGGCTCATCCGAGAGGTCCTGTGGCAAGTTGGCTGGCGGCCGAACTTCAGACGATGGCGTTTCGGCAGCTACTATCGGTGAAGCTGGGATATCCTCGGAAAGGACGACGTTCGCAACGTACGCGGTCACATTTTCTTTTGATGGCGTCGTAAGGTGGGCCTGTCTGACAGCTTCCCGAGCTGCTGCAATCACAATGACATCGCTCATGGAGAGCAAACTTCCTTCGGCTAGAGAAAGTGCCTCCTTCCGCATGCATAGCGAGACAATCGCGGGCTGAATCCAACACGGCACATCGAAAGCCCTAGCAAGGACCAGCTTCTGGAGAGGTGAAGCGAGCGGTTCCAGCTTATCTAGAGCAAGCGTGCGGATGCTGTCAAACGCCCAGCGTGTCGCTAGTCGCAGGACCGATTCCCATTCGACATAGGTCTTCAAGTCGTGTCCCTGGAAGTTCCTGTGCATAGAAGACATCATCAGCCCTCGATCGGACAAGAGTACACTCCGGTGCATACTTATTGTACAGTATCGCCAGGAATGCGTCCATATCTGCCTCAGACACGTCTAGGTCCAGAACTGTACTATCATCACGCAGTACATCGAGCTTCTGAGACCAGAATGGAGAGTGCATCGTAAAAAGATAATCATGAACGCGATAAAGCGTGTTCTCGATCTTTGAAGAGTATCAATAGCTATCAGGGAAGATCATGTCGCCAAACCTGCCTGGAACTTGATGAAATTGGTCTCGAAGTAGAAACGTGGATGCTTCAGGGCTTGGCTCTCTGAGGATACGTCGACGTCGACGCCACAGCCAGCGTTGACGTTCTCATCGCTCTGGGTATCGGCCGCGGAGGATATGGATTCAACGTCAGACGCAGAGATATCAGACAGCGACATGTTCATAATGCTGTGTGGCTCAGACACTGGGATGTGACCGAGCGATGATGGTGGTAGCAAGAACGTCTCGCGGCGCACACGTGTTGAGCCGCCGCACGCCTATTCAACAACGGTGTGACGTGACGTGACAAAATAAAGCAGCTAGACAAACGGCACCTTTGATGGATATACGTAGCTCATAACACGAGCCTCTGTGTAGAGACAGTGATGGACTACTGGACAACTTCATCTATAGTCTCAAGAAGGTCACTCGATTTACGAGCTGGCTGGCTGGATAGCAGAAGGCCATAGGGAGCATTGATCGATGTGACGTCGCGCGTTGAGGAAGCGCGCCTCGCAGCTGCGCTCGTCATCGCAACCGCCATGTTCAACCTGCTCTCTCGCCGCGTTGCGGTCACTGCGGCGCGCGCACCTCTCCGAGCGAACTCGAGTCCATATGTCTATCAACGCTCTCCCATTTACCGCACGTTCTTCTCCGCACCCGTGCTTGCGGACCCTGCAGCGAAGGCTGCGGCAGCCAAGGAGACCGGTTCTGTGAAGAAGAAGGCTACGAAGAAGACCGCGAAGAAGCCAGCCGCCAAACCAAAGCCAAAGCCAAAGCCAAAGAAGGCGGCGCCCAAACCCAAACCCAAGAAAGTGAAGAAGGCGGTTCCACCTCCCAGTACGTTCACCTATCCGCCGTATCTGCGCTAAGCTAAACCTGGCACAGAACCCAGGTTCATCAAGTCCATGATGCCGCCTCGGCGACCTGCGTATCCATACGTCATATTCGCCACCGAATACTTTGCCCGTCAATCTGAAGTCAAGGCCTCACTCAGTGCACACGATGTGTCACGCGAAGACGTGAAGGCCCTCATCGCTGCACGTGGCAAGGCGGCAGGAGTGGCCTGGCACGAACTCCCGCAGTTCGAGAAGGATGTTAGTAACGTTGCTTCATCATCTTTGAAAGAAACAAAGCACGTGCTGATCATATTTTGTCCATAGAAATATAGGGCCGAGTATGAGAAGCGATTGGAGCAGTACCGCCTTGATTTGGCGGCCTGGCAGCAGTCGGTCGAACCTCAGACCGTGAAGATCATCAACGACCATCGTCGTAAGAGGAAATTGCCGCGTGTTGTCATACCTGTTCAGGGACCTAAACGCCCGCTGTCAAGCTATCTCCTGTTAGTCGAATTATTCCCTTCCTCCTTACATAGTGTGTTCGACGCTCATTCTTCATCCTCTCTTCAGCTTCTCGCAGGAGAAGATGGACGAGGTCAAGCGTGCGTTACCGCCAGGTTCTGTGCCCACAGAATTTCACAAGGAACTCGGCCGTCTCTGGAATAATCTGTCTGACGAGGAGAAGCAGGTTCGTATTGGCCATTGCCTATAGATGTGTCTCAGCGCTGATCATCGTCTATAGCCCTATGCGGAGAAAGGAAAGGAACTCATGGAGGCGTACTCCAAAGCTAAAGCAGAATACGTTGCCGACTCCGCGTAATGTCGCGCCCCCGGTTCTATGTCGTGTTTTGGTCTCTGCCCGTTGATGCGAATTCTGCCCGGACTCAGTGAGATTGTTCATATCGTATAGCGGCCCTACGTGCTCAATCACATTCAAGCTACCCTTGTTGCTCTTTAACCTTGTATATAGTCGTTACAGCCCGAGTTATTGAAAGTCCTTGGATACCCTCATGCACGATGTAAGATACTACTCTCCGAGATCCTTCGCATGTCCATATCTGTCCATGAACAGGCACCCACGTAGTTGCCCTCATCTCCAATCGTACATCACCGGGGATCAATGAGATCCAATTATTTCTGCACCTCGACTCGCCATAAGCACATACCATACGTATAGTGTACGTTTGGCCCTCTGTGTCCCGGGCCGCGGGCGTACTTGCCGCTAACGCTGTGTCTGTCCGTTATCGCCGATGTTTGACCGCGTTCGGGCTTCCTGCGCCGCTGTGTGCTCGCGGGTCGTCTCGCAGCGACCACGACCAGTCAATACTACCGCTTGCCGTAGCCTAACCATACACGAACTCGATGTCGAAAGCCCATTGAGTAGCCTCGGCGGGTACTGTCCGTTCCGTCCCATGGTTCGCTCCATTTACATCAAGGTTCTACCCGCACGACGGGGAGCGCAGTCCGTCGCCCTGCGATGGCGCTATCGAGAACCCACTATTGAGACGCTCAATTCATGAGCAAAAGCCCCGATTCGTCTGCACACAGGTCCATATATACCTACGACCAGGGTTGGCGTGTTTCCCCAGACTTTGTGCCGTTGATATCGAAACTGACGCCCAGCGTCTGCTCGACATGGACCACCATGATCTCCGGGTCAACGCAGCCGAGTATGTGGCCATGGTAGATGACGTGTCTGTACCGTGCGTGTCTTCACTGGCTCCGTGTAACAGCTTAACTAACCACGGACTTCGCAGCTTGTGGCGAGACGCGCGCCTGGTTCCTGCCTATGTTGCAGGGATACTGGTGGTTGAATATTTCGTGTCGGCAATCTCTGGTCTCAGGCGTGACGCACGGTCTAAACCGTTGGCCAAAGACGCGCGCGGGGATTACAGGCCGCATAAGGACCTCCGCTCTCACATCGGCTCCCTCGGTGGCGCAAGGATCTTCGCCTTCAGGATAGCGCGCGCGATATGTGTACTCGCACTGCTTGCTATCTACGCGTACGATCTCTCGCGTACATATGCTGGGACAGAACCAGTGGCGACGGAAGAAGCTCTGAAGCTTGTGCTCTTCATAACCTACGTACGTAGCTCAACGAAGTTCTTCGGTGCACGATCTCACTGCGTCTGCAGCTCTACGCGTCTCTCCTTGGCCTTTTGAACATCACAGCACACGCTTCGCGCGCGCAAACGGCCGGGTTGCACCTCGTCCTCGTTCTACTCGCAAGCTGTGCCGCTTACGGCTTCCGCGACATATGGCCGCTCATGACCTACACCCTTCGACCTCTTGATGCTGGCGAAGGCGCGCTCCTTTGGCTCAAGATATCGCTCCTGGCTCTTGCAGGCATCATCATTCCTCTCATCTCGCCGCGCCAATATGTCCCTCTGGATCCCGAGGTACTTGTCGTACAGTGCGCGCTGATGCGTCTAGCTCACACGACCACAGAATCCTTCCGACGGACCTCACCCGGAACAGACATGTTCTCTTCTATCGCTGCTCACATATAGCTTCATGAACAAGTCCATATACGCGGCATACAACTCTCCTTCACAGGCGGGATCCGACACATTGACAATGGCAGACTACGACCGCATGCCCTATCTCGTGAAGCGCAACTTCAAGCATCTGGATATCTTCTCGGGTGCTCGCCGTCGACATATGGGCGTCGCGCTCCTGCGAGTGTATAGTCAGTCTCTTATCTAAAGATCACGGAGAGATGCTGAAATACGCTCATGTAGACCGAGAATTCAGTATACTTGCATGCATGATGGTCGTACGCGCTTGCACCGCGCTGTTTGCGCCAGTAGGCATCAATCGTCTGCTCACGTGAGTTACGTTTGTATATGATACACTTACATCTCTTTCTGATCCCGGCGCCAGCTATCTAGAGACAGGTGGTGAAGGCGCAATTGTTCGGCCATGGGTGTGGTGCACCTTGATGTTTCTCGGTCCTTTCGGCAGCACACTCTTGATGCAGTACTACAGCTTCATCACCGTGAGTGCTTGCTGTCTCCATTGTCCCCACCGCAATCTGACGCTCTACAGACGAAGATCGCAGTACACACCGAGGGCATGCTCACTGAGCTCATCTTCGAACATGCCTTACGCCTACGTGTCAAATCCGAGACAAGGACGCCCTCAGCATCAGCAGCACCGACACCCGAGACAGCGTCCATAGCAGCGTCCACGACCGACAACAACGGTGCAGAATCTGACGCTTCAGCAAGAAAGGCGCGTTCGTCAGCCGCCACGCCCTCAAGGGGCAATAGCACGAAGATCGCTGCAAAGGAGGAGAAAGGCAACGACGAGGGAGCCAACTTTGTCGGCAAGATCAACAATCTCGTCACCACAGACTTGCAGAGCATCGGAAGAGGGCGCGACTTCACCATACCGGTGTTCAATACGACCTTCACCCTCGCCATGTCTCTTTACTTTCTATACCTCGTGCTGGGATGGAGGTAGATATTGTTTCCCTCGTCATCGCGATGTCCGAACTGACGATTTGGTAGTACTTTCGTTGGGATGGCTATCATGATCATATGCTTGCCAATACCGGGCTATCTATCCCGGCTGCTACAGAGAGTGCAGAAAGCGCTGATGCAAAAGACGGACGCTCGAGTGCAGACGGTCACGGAGATGATGAGCGTGCTGAGGATGATTAAGATGTTCGGCTGGGAGAAGAAGATCGCGGAACGTCTGGACGCCAAACGTACCGAGGAGCTCCGCTGGCTACGGTCCTTTGAGCTGGTTAATTTGGGCAACAATAGCATCACATTGTATGGTCATTGGGGCTCCCTCGAGATGGCTCTCACTGATGTGTCCTCATAGGGTCATCCCCATTCTGCAGATGGTGGCCACGTATGCGACGTTCACGCTCGTGATGGGAGGGAGACTCACCGGTCTGTCTATCTGAAGCACGGCTTCATCGTGCTACGCTGATGCACAACCGGCAGCGTCGATCGTGTTCCCGTCTATGACCGTGTTTATGCTTCTCCGGAATCAGATCGGGCTGCTGTTCTACTGGGTTGCACCGCTTATTGAATGTAATGTCGAACACTTCTGCTTACTATAATCGTCTGGCTCACTCGTACACCCCCAGCTAAGGTCTCCCTTGATCGCCTCACCGACTTCCTTCGTGACACGGAACTACTGGATCAATATTCCGACGTCCACGGCGATCACCCTATGGGTATCTCACAACCAGGTGCACTCACAGGCGATGCGCCGATCAGCATACGCGACGCTTCATTCACTTGGTCTGCAGCGTCGGACGGGACCGACGACGAAGCGGCCTCAGGCCGTGCGTTCACTCTACGTGTGCCTGGAGAACTTGCGTTTCGACAAGGCAAGGTGAACCTCATCGTGGGACCGACCGGCAGCGGCAAGACTAGCCTGCTCATGGCGCTTCTCGGCGAGATGCATTGTGTACCGTTGGGCCCTGGTGCGTGGGTGAGCCTACCACGCGCTGGTGGTGTCGCGTACGCGGCGCAGGAGAGCTGGGTCCAGAATGAAACGATCCGCGACAACATTCTCTTCGGTGCACCGTACGACGAGGTTCGGTATAAGAAAGGTACCAGAGGAGTGATTGTCGTACACCTAAGACCAGTAACTGACTATGCTGCAGTCATACACCAGTGCGCGCTGAAGCGTGATCTGTCCCTCTTCGACTCAGGCGATAAGACAGAAGTTGGGGAGAAGGGTTTGACACTTAGCGGCGGACAGAAGGCGCGCGTCACACTCGCACGGGCGATCTACTCATCTGCGGAGATAGTTCTCCTGGACGACATACTTGCAGCACTAGACGTACACACGGCTAGGTGGATCGTCGACAAGTGTCTGATGGGCGATCTTGTCCGTGGAAGGACGGTCATACTTGTCGTACGCGATCTTCGCTGAGTCCCCATCTTGCGCCACTGATGCACTTATAGACGCACAACATTGCGCTTGTGGGTCCCATAGCGGATTTCGTGGTTGCGCTTGGCAATAACGGTTCTATCGCGGCCCGTGGATCTTACAAAGAGGTCTTGTCGAAGGACAAGGAGCTCGCTCACGAGGCGGTACAGGAAGAAGAGAAACTCGCGCGGGTCGAAGAAGAAGTAGAGGAGTTCGTGGACGCCGACGAGCAGGAAATGGCAAGCGATGGAAAGCTCATCGTCAAGGAGGAGGTAGCCGAAGGACATGTCTCTTTACATGCACGTGAGTCAAGCACTCTCTGCGTCGACGAAGTCTTATTCGCGTTCACAGTCACGCTCTTCTGGGGAGCGCTTGGAGGCAGACACCCAATCTTGTTCTGGGCCACCTTCCTTGGCGGCGTGTTCAGTTATCACGCACTCTCGAGCTTGCAGGTATACCCGATCATTCTCATAGCCAGACTCAGTGCTCACATCTTGCAGTCATTCTGGCTGGGCCGCTGGGCGGAGGCATACACGCGACCGGAACCTGTAGACGTCAAATAGTAGGTTGCCCTTGTTGCGTTCCCAAATCCTATTGATGTCTTTTGTAGCTACATGGGCGTGTTCTTACTGCTCGTCTTTGTTGGGGTTTCTTCATACCTTGCAGCCCGGACTTCCTATGCATTTGGCGTCATCCGATCAGCAAAGAAGGTTCACGCCATCCTCATAAACTCCATTTTGAGCACCACCCTCCGGTGGCTGGACCAGACGCCCGTATCACGAGTGATCACTCGCTGTACCAAGGACATCAAATCCTTGGACAGTGCATTCGCTAGCAGTTTTTTGATATTCGGTACGTCCCCTTTGGTCACATACCTTAACGATAGCAATGTATTCATCGCTGTCTAGTGGGGATTAGCGTCCAGTTGATCACTCAACTGATCGCGATCACACTTGTTACACCGGTGGCCGTTGTTCCCGGCGTTGTGGTCTTCTCACTCGGCGCCTTCGTGGGCAACGTGTACATGAAGGCGGCATTACCAATGAAGAGAGTCATGAGCAATAGCAAAGCTCCCGTATTGGGTCACTTCGGTGCAGCCATCGCTGGCTTAAGTGCGTCTAACGAGTTCATGCGCATGCTCGAAACTGACTATCGTAGTCTCGATTCGAGCATACGGCGCCCAGGACGCATTCCGCCGGGAGTCCTACAAGCGCATCGAAAGTTATACACGTTCAAACCGGATGTTCTACAACCTCAATCGGTGGATCAGCACACGCAGCGATGCACTAGGCGGTCTCTTCGCATCCGGACTGGGTCTATACCTGGTGTATGGACCAGGGTCAACCATAGGTGCATCCAACGTCGGCTTCTCCTTAGCAATGACTGGTATGTACGACCATCCTCCATCCCCACTCACGCTAACATGCTTTCCCCAGCCGCTTTCAGCGACATGATCTTGTGAGTTCACTCGATCTCTCGTCATGCCATACCTCTGCGCTGCTCTGACACTACACGCAGATGGTGGGTGAGGGCGGTCAACAGTGTCGAAGTCGAGGGCAACAGTCTTGAGCGCATCCAAGCGTATCTTGAGATCGAGCAAGAACCCAAGCCTACGGAGGAAAAGGCTCCGCCGGCATCATGGCCGACGAGTGGCGATCTGCGCATCCAGGGCTTGTCAGCGCGTTACTCGCCCGATGGTCCCAAGGTGCTTCACAACCTCTCCTTCAATGTCAGGTCTGGCGAGCGCGTCGGAATCGTCGGTCGAACTGGAAGTGGCAAGAGCTCCTTGACGCTCTCGCTCTTGCGGCTCATCTTCACCGAAGGCGATGTCTATTACGACGGCGTCAACACCGCTAACATCAATCTCGACGCGCTTCGGACCGCCATCACCATCATTCCGCAGGTGCCTGAGCTGTTGAGCGGGACGTTACGCGAGAATCTGGATCCCTTCGGCGAGTACGACGACGCTGTTCTGAACTCGGCTCTGCGCGCTTCCGGCCTCTTCTCGTTGCAGGACGAGACAGATGAGGGTCGGATTACGCTTGACTCACAGATCTCAAGTGGCGGAGGCAACCTGAGCGTTGGCCAGCGACAAATTCTGGCCTTGGCCCGCGCACTCGTCCGCGGCAGCAAGTTGCTCATCCTCGACGAGGCAACTTCGTCTATCGACTACAAGACGGATGCCATCATCCAATCTTCTCTTCGTAGAGAGCTCGGAGGAGATGTGACGCTGCTCACCGTCGCACACCGTCTGCAGACCATCATGGATGCGGACAAAATTGTAAGTAGATATTCAGGCCATCCTAGCCGCTACATGGTGGCTAATGCATTCTGCAGATGGTTCTCGATGCCGGCCGTATAGTAGAGTTTGACACTCCGCTGTCTCTTCTGAAAAGAGATGGCGGGTTCTTCAAGTCACTCGTAGATGAAAGCGGGGATAAGGACACATTGTACACGATGGCGGGTGGCTCGTCTCCGGATTCCTAGCTTTGGACATATCTCTTCGTTACTATCACGGACTTTGATCGGACACTATAGGCATTAACTACTCTCTCCTGATACTGCTAGCATAAGGATGATGTGGGAAGTGCTAGAAACAGCCTTGGGTTCAGGTTCTCGCTAGTGGTATGACTCAAAATGCCGCGGCAGTCACCATCGAGGTTAGGGTTAGCCCACAGGTGCGACGCGCGGCCCGCGTTGCTTGATTACCCACTGCGATGAGCTATTGTCCCAGTCTTTTACCTCCGTCCATCTTGAGATACGACACGCCTACATGCTTCCAGGAAAGCAAGAGCGGAATTCTGTAGAAGAAATAGCCGGGGGTCAGGGCGAATGCGGCTTCATTATGATACTGGGATATTTCCCGTTGCCCTGATCCTGGCTCGGATTTGTACCCGAGTTTGCTAACTCCGTTGCTTTGCCGTACGACGCGTCGCCCCTCGGCACGCTGAGCTGGCTCAGATAACTTCTCAAGGGATGCTGAAGGACCTGAACCACGGGTGCTACATAAGACCGCGGCGCATCCATTCATTTTTGCTGAGCAGCACATTACCGATGGGTGTGGCCTACAGCGCGCTCCTCAAGCAGAGTTGGCCCTCGAAGCCTACTTGGACTCCAGATGAGATACCTGAACTTACGGGTAAGATCGTACTGGTGACCGGTACGTTTCATCCACCGCCCATCCATTGACACGCACTGACTGCGTGTGGCACTTCAGGTGGCAACTCAGGCGTCGGCAAAGAAATGATCCGCGTTCTCCTGCTTCACAACGCTACAGTCTACCTCGCCGCGCGCTCCGAGTCAGCAGCTCAAGCTGCCATCTCTGAACTCGAACGCTCTACCGGCAAAACGGCGAAGTTCCTGCACCTCGATCTCTTGGACTTGTCCTCGGTACGCGCCGCTGCGACCGAGTTTCTACGCAGGGAGAAGAGGCTGGACGTGCTGTTCAACAATGCTGGAGTGTTTCTTGTCCCAAGGGACAAGCTCACCGCGCAGGGGTACGACATGACAGTCGGCGTGAACGTCCTTGGCCCATTCCTCCTCGCACAACTACTCCTCCCGGCCCTCTCTTCGCCCCTCAACGCCGAAAAGGGACGCATCATTAGCACGTCCTCCGTGACGCACTACTTCGCCCCACACTTCAACATCGCCGTGGCCCGTCCCGGGAGAGCGAGGGATAAGTTGGGAAGGGATCTGCTCGGGAACGACGTGCTGTATGCGCAGACGAAGACGGCCGAGACAGTGTTGGCGAAGGAGAAGGCGAGGAGGCACGGCGATAAGATCGTCAGCATCGCGATCAACCCGGGAAACATTCAGACGAACATACAGAGGAACATGAAGGGGTTGGATAAGGTCTTGGTGGTACGTTTCACGTCGAGGTGAACGGTTGCTGGGCGCGGACTGACAGTGCTTGCAGGAGAGCATCTTGTACCCCGTCAATCTGGGCGCGTATACGGGTCTGCGCGCTGGGGTGACACCTGAAGCGGCGGAGTGGAATGGCAAGGTGTGTGCACGTCATTCGTGCCACTCAACGGGCTTGGTCTGATGTCCTTGCAGTATATGCGGCCGTGGGCGCAGCTCGGAAAGGCGCATCCCGCCACGCAGGATCCGGAGACAGGTCGCAAACTGTGGGAGTGGGCCGAGGAGCAGTGCAAGGAGTGGTTAGAGCCTATCGAGGTCTAATGCCATCAGTAGGTGATAGCCGAGTCTGCTCTATACTATCAGCTGCGCTCTGGATGGCAGTGGGATTATACTGTAGCAACTGCGACGCGCAGGCCCATCCGGCATATCAAGTCAAAAATAACCAAAGATCCATGTCCATTGCTATGCTCGCCGTATACAGTGGGATACAGCGCTCCGGTCACAAGAGATATCAAGCGCAAGCCAGAGTCCGGAGACGGTTATGCCATAGAGTACAGTGCCAATGGATGCTATATGCGCTCGAAGCGCGTCTGGGAGAGAGGTCAAAGGGCCAATAGATAAGTAGCCTTTCCGGTGATCGACAAGCGAAAGAAGAACGAAGTATGCAAGTCTGGGTCCAAGGGGATATTTTCCGTCTACATGGTCGAGTAGCTGACGCTCTCGCTCAAGTGCTCGTCCGCAGGGTTATACGTAAACCCGCGGAACTGATCCTGAACGGTCTCGCTCAGCCTGCTATCCTGCACGACCGAATCCTGAGCTGCCTCGCTCGTGAACTCCTGGTCGAAGTTCGCAACATCTAGTGCGCTCTCCACACTCGGCTTGAATGGCGGCTGGATCTTCTTCGCTGCCAACCGTGCCCAGTCGATGTGGCGAGAGAAGAATGGGTGGCGCTTGATCTCTTCGCCACCGTTGGCGCCGAGACGGCGTGATGGATCGCGATTGAGGAGTTGGGCGATGAGGGATTGGGCTTCGACGGGCATGTCGGGAGGGAATTGAAGCGGGTCTTGCAGGATGCGCTGGTACATGATATTCACGTTCTCATCATAGAACGGAGGTAGACCAGTCTATGCGGACGTTAGTATACAGTATGTTCTCAGATAACGCGCGAGCATACCATCATCTCATAGAGCAGTACTCCAAGCGTCCACCAGTCGACGGTTTTGGTGTAACCTTGCGACTCGAGCAGTTCCGGTGCAATGTACTCCGGTGTACCGCAGAACGTGTTGGTCTTGTCCGTTTCGGACATGTTGAGCTTGCACAAGCCGAAATCGCACAGGGCAATATGTCCAGTATAGTCCAGCAGGATATTCTCCGGCTTCAAATCGCGATAAACGACGTTGAACATGTGCAAGTGCTCAAGTGCACACAGCAGCTCGGCAGCATAGAACCGTGAGCGGCCCTCGTCGAACCGACCCTCGCGCTGCAGATGGTAGAACAGCTCGCCGCCGTTGACGAAGGACATGACGAGGTAGAGCTTGTCCGGGTTCTGGAAGCTGAACTTGAGCGGCACGATGAACGGGTTGTTCACGAGCGCCAAGACCGTGCGTTCGGCAAGAATATGTGTGATCTCGCCAGGACGTGATGCGATGTTGGCTTTCCGAATCGTCTTGAGGGCGTACACACGCTGGGTGTCCTTCTTCCGGACCTGCATGACCTTGCCGAATGACCCCTTGCCGATGACCTTGAGCAGCTCGAAAGCGTCTATGGTCAGCGCTTGTGTCGCCGGCGTGGGATTGAAAGAGAGCGCCAGGTGGAAAGCGCCGAGCGGGGAGGAGTACCATTGGTCGGATACGTGTGGCGCGTCGAGGGTCGGCTGAAGGTCGACGCGTGACATGAGCAGGTCGTTGCCCATGTCATCGCGCCCTTGCACGCTTTGTGTTGTGCGCAGGTACGCGGATACGGCGATGTTGGATTGGCGCGAGACGTCGCTGGAAAACGTGGAATTAGCGCCGCGTGCACAAGAACGGAAGTGCGGGATCCGCGCGCGCAAGACACCGACGGCACGTAGTTCGACGCACGTCCCAGCGAGAAGCAATATATGGTATCCAACATCCCTCGCTGCGCCCGCCACAGCCGATCTAAACAAAATAGGACACTCACAAGTCTGCGCGGTAGTTCCAGACTGGGTTGGCGAGATCGCCTCCCATGGCGTCGATCAAGATCTCGTTCTTATCAAACTCGAGCACGACGTATGGCAGCCACCAGTACCGGCGGCGCTGCATGGACTCCCTGTTTCCGGAGATGGAGGATCTGGGCGGGGACTCGATGGCCTTCTGGATGACGTCGGGCACTGGGACGCCCGGCGGCAGCGAGAGGCCGCGGCCCGAGTAGATGCGGATGGTGAGCGTGCCAGAGCGGAAGGAGGATTGGGCGTCCATGGGCGGCATCGGCGTCGTCGAGCGCGAGGCTGGGAGCGGGGTAGTCGACCGGTCGTTACCGTCTGGCCTAAGTTCTTTTTATTCATGTAAGCACTCGGGCCCTGTAGCTATCTGACAAAACAAAAACATGGTGCGCACTCTTTGATGGGAGCTTCCATGACTGCATCTTTCTGGAATAGGCCCGCGCACACGCGGTACACTGGTCGATGCGGGATTCAGAGGTCAAGCGACGCGCGCGACGGCCGGATTATATATGCAGCTTGCCTTCGCTTCCCCATCACAACCTTCCACTCATCCACGCTCACCTCACGTCGCCGTCGCGACCTTCGCCGCCCATATACCGTTCTTCGCGACTGCAGATCCCCATGTCTCCCCTTATCATGGGCGCTCCATTCTGTAACGGTCAACTGCGGCGCTTTGCCGCCATCTCTACCCCGTTGGCGCAGCCACACGGTACACACCTCCCCGTCGCCTTCCGAACAAGCCGTCTGCACCGCTTTGTCGCCATATAGGCAAATCTACCGGTTTCATTGACGCATCTGTCGCACGGCGTCTCGTTATGAGATGTGTATCTTGGTCATCACGCCTCTTCCTGTATTGTAGCGGAACATGATCGTCTAGCGTTTCGATGCAAGCACACAGTGCTGATCATGAATGAGAATATGCCATGCATCTACGGATATCAACAGCTCTTGATATGTACAAGACAGATCGGCCAAACATTGTGGGACAAGGAAGCGTGCGCATGTAGTAACGTGAGTCTCGAGTCTATCATTCCACCTCGCGGAACGGCTTGTCTTCAGCAGCCTCTTCTTCGCCTCCAATTTCCACCCCTCTCATCCGATTCGCGAGATCAGTGATTTCGGCTGCGCCACTGGCCCGAGCCTGAGCATCGTATTCGCCATTCTCGTCGACTTCGTCTTCGGGGTCCCAAGGAATCGACGGCCCTCGCCAGCCATCATTCTGGTGGACAGAATTGAGGAAGCGGCGCCACAGTGGGTCGAGAGAAAGCACGTTCGGGTTGCCGACGATGATGAGCAGCGCTTGAGCGCGGGTGACGGCGACTACACTAGATGTGAGCAAGGAAAGCGAGGCTTCATAGCGAAGAGAACGTGCCGTTGAAGCGTCGAGGATTGGCGACAAAGCCGAGCGTATGCTTGAGGTCGTATGCAACCAGTTCGCGCGAGCTGCGAGTCGTCGATACGAAGATGACTTTGCGCTCCTAAAGTGACGCCCGTCAACTGTAAACTGCCGAATGATCTAAAGGGCAACGTACCTGCCCCTGGAACTCTTCGACCGAGCCGACCTTGATCTTCCTCGCGCCCTCCTTCCCTTTCTCACGCAGCAGCTTGCGTATCTTCAGTACCTGTGCATGATACGGAGCTATGACTCCGATATCCTCGTAGCCTGTCAAGCATGAGCCATAATAGTAGTACAGGTCAGGTGAGAGATCACGCACGGACGTTGATACGCTTGTCCGCGATCAGTTCGTCAATATACCGCTTCACTTGCTCTGCCTCCAGGATGTTGAAGTACGAAGGAGACGTCGACTCGCGCTCGTTTGAGCCGACAATGGCGTGGAATACTACCGGATAATGTTTGTTCACAAGAACCGATGCGCCAATGCAGGCGTTGCGTTTCACGGCGGGCGCGCAAGGCACGAGCTCATTGTCGTAAAACTCTTGATTCGGGAAGGTTAGTATGGCTTCATGTGATCTGTAGTTCTGGACCAGTTTGACGACACTGCGTTACGCGTTACGGCTATCAGCGTCATGGACTCGACCGATCATATGAAACGACGTACGTCCTTCCATGCCCTTCATGAGGGTCGTATAAGTTGTCTTGACTGTCCATGAGCCTCTGCAAGTAGCTCTTCTCCAATCCCAGCCTGCGAGCCACCATCGACCGTATGACCGGACCTAGCTGCTTAGGATCACCGGCGAGAACAATGTTCGTCTTGTCGTCCGCCATAGTCTTAATGGGGATCATGACTTCAGGCTCGGTAGCCTGTCCTGCTTCGTCCACGAAGATGCCGTTGAAGTAACCCGGCGGTATACCGAGATTATATGGGACTGCCGCCGAGACGCAAGTGCACACGACAACGCGGTACTTCGTGAGCTTCTCGAGTGGCGGGATGTCGAGCTCGGTTCCATCCACGAGGGTGTACGGAAGCAAGTTTTCGGGCACGTCCTTCTTCTGTCGACTACGTCCGTATAGACGAAAGAGCGCATCAGGCCTGAGAACTGCGCTGAGTCTTTGTGCTACGAGGTCCGCAGCCGAGTTGGACGGCGCCGTGACAAGTAGCTTGAAGTTGGGAAACTGGGTTATGACTTGGAGAGCCGCCTCAACCAGAGTAACGGTTTTCCCCGTCCCGGGCCTAGCAGTTGAGTTAGCAAGGGCTGTAGAACGTTGAGGAGGGTTGGCGTACGGGCCGAACAGTGCGAAAGGCGGCGATCCCTCCGGCAGATTCAAGATTGCCATCACAGCATCGAGCTGAGACTGGTTGTTCACAATATGTTCGTTGAAAAGATGGACCTCCCCTGGCTGGACAGGCTGGCTGAGCGGTGGTAGGAGGTGTTCGGCTTTGGGGAACAAGACTCTATCACTGCGGTATAAGTCCTGTTCCAAGGCTTGATGTTGACGACGCAATGGTGTCCGGTTCAGCTTGAAGCGAACCTCGAAGGGTTGGGCCGGGCTCGGGACTGGGAACTTGTTGTTGAAGCGAAGTCCGACGCGTAGCTCTGCGACTTCGTGGACGTGACCCTCGAACCATGATTTAGCGTCTCTTGTGTTCCGAGGCTGTACGTGCATACGATCGCCGCGCAACACACTCGGCCTCTTCTCGGCCAGGCCTGGGACGCGCAACCTGGCTCTAGATCAGCGCAAGCCGAGACACGAGAAGATGGATTGTACCAGTACAGGAATCCTCCTCCGCTTTTTTCCAAGATGGCGTCATCTATGTCGAAGATCTGCAAGTCAAGCCTACGTCTGTCTGTGAGCTACGCTCTATGTAAGTGTAGGACAAGGCGACGCACTCTGCACGATGTTCCTCCGCCCAGAGAAGGGCCTTCCAATGTTGCCCGTACGATTCGCCATTCAGTACAGACGGCAGATATGACATACGGATCTTGAAGATGGTCGCATCGAGCTCCTTCTGTGCCTTTGCAAGAATGTCGTTGAGAGGCTTCGGAATCTCGTACAGGGGCAACCTCTTCGCTTTAAGAAGAAGTGTCTTTGGAATCGGTGGCGGGACCCCTCTGAGAGCAACCACCTCGCGGTCACGGTCTGTCACGCGTAGTCGCTGAATGTACGGCGAGACAGGCTTGAGAAGTTCGTGAACCTCACGGCTGCCGACCACAGTCGCGCGGAGATCGCGGGCTATGGTAAACTCGAGTCTGACTGCGAGGTCCTCGAAGACAACTTCGAGCCTGTCGTCGTATTCCCCAAGCATAGACTGCTTGAGGGTAACGATCACGGTGTCATTTGAGTTCAGACCGCCCGATGCTGTAATCACTGTGAAACTGTAGAGAAGTCAATGGCTGTGCTGATATTGACAATAGTCGACATACCTTCCAGCGCCCGCGCGTCTCTCAGCGCATCTCACTGCGACGACTCGTATGCGTGCCCCCGGCGCCGTCGTCATCTGAACGTCTATACGGAGACCCTGCACAGCATGCGCAGCTTCCACAAGTCCGAAGTCGACACCATCTTCATGCGACAAAGAGACCCCATTCCTATCCTGCGCCGCCTCGTTCAAGACGTTCCTGAGAGCGGTAAACGATAAGCCGTTCCGATGGGCGCCAGAACGCTCGTGTTGAGCCAACTGCTCCAAATGAACGAGTACGTCACAGGCGTCGCAAGCGACAAATTTGAAGCCGCCAATGTCCTTCGGTGGTTTGGGTACGACGCTCAACGGATCCACGCTCGACTTCCTCGCCAGTTCACGGTGACGCCGCCCTCGTTTGTGCGTCTCCCATACACCCAATATCGTGTTGTTATCGCAGAGCTCGCAGTATCCCACTGCGATACCGCCCGTGGGATGTGTATTGACCCGTTTCCTGTGTGGCTTCGAACGTAAATGTTCATCGAGGAGACGCCGTTCCGTGAAAGCAACATGGCAAAGCTCGCATGGAAAGAGCTCATGCGAATGAATACACGCGGGATTGGGACATATGCCGTGTTCACGGAACGCAGGGCACAAGGTCACCATGATGATCGCAGATGTAGTTGTTGGGGGAGGCGGAGGCGGAGGGGAGGCTGAGGGGAGGCTGAGAGCGTGTTAGACAACAGGCGTCAGAGAGCAAACGGTGGCGGCCTTATATCTTCCTTTGTCAGAATAAGCAGATGATTGGCGCGCGCTTGCTTCATTTCAGGGTCTGCAAGTGCCCGCCACTTGTGAGTTTGGCCGTCTGCAGGAGTGTAGACGAACGGAAAAGGAAGTGCCTTGTGAGGTTAAGTTACAACGTGGGAATACATATGAGATCCTACAACACATGACACCGTGTAAGCGCTGGGAATTGGGGAGTTCCCAGAGTTATTCCGTCTGTGGGCTCTTCTCGTACGCCTGCAAGTATCTTCTCTGGTCCTTACAGCGGTTTGCGAAAACCTTGCGAAAGTCGCGTCGAAAGCGAACGCGCGACTTCAATCCCAAAAAGGCGATTCTTCCTTTTTGGGCGATTGCCACGCCCGACTACAAAATGCCGGCGTCTTGTGCTCTCCTGCACAGTAAAGCATCGGAAGTTGACTGGCTAGAAGCTATGGTATACGGGTGCTGTTAAAATGCTCCTATGGTCGAAAGAATAGGAACGGGCGTCCTGAAAGGGTGTAGAGGCATATTGCCACATAAGGAAGATTCGCCTTTTTGGGAGATTGGTCGCGCGGCCGCGTCGACGCGACTTTCGCAAGGTTTTCGCAAACCGCTGTAAGCTTGGTTCACGTAGAGCAATATCAGGTCGAGTTCGCGAACGGGCGAGTACGGGAGATTGCTGGAATGTCGCACTTTGGGCCCCGAATGGGTTACGCCGACCAACGGCGCAAAAGGCCCGGATCAGCCTGTACGTCCCGATGGTCACTAGAGATACATTCCAGGGCAGAATGAGCTTTTCAATCTACAAGAAGACATCAACGGATATGACCCAATGCAGTCTCCATCCATCGTGAACGGAGATGACATGCTGAAGCTTGTGTGCACAAACGCCGGGGTGTACCGATCCGATCAGGAAGGACCGAGAGGTAGTAAGAGTGGCCACCTATTGAATAGCATAAGGAGTAGACTCATATAGTTTAGGAGATATTCATGAAATTTGGATTGGGTAGCGTCACAGCAGGTGAAGGATGGAGAAGAGAACAGGACGTGCTTCGTGGCGCGTTTAAGAACCCGGATATTCGGACCGGACGACGAACTTATCCCCGATAAATTCACTGCCACGGCCCCTCCGGGGCATCATCGGGACTGTGTGTCGGGACGTCTATGCTCAATGTAGATCGCTGTTACATTATATACTATACATGCCATCTAGACTGTGATATACGAAGGCAGGCGCCAAGAGACGTGGAAGGTGTGGTGAGCGAGGGTTCGACGTTCGACCTCTGCGCGATTCTTATGGTGCCGTATAATACTCGCCTGCCGACACCACAAGGACCGTCGCCATGCTTCTCACATCACTCAAAACCGGCTATGACAAGCTCTGCCCTCATCCTCAGGCTGATGTTGACAGTGGGTTTTCCCGTCCGGATGCTCACAGGTCCACCCAGGGCGTCAAGGCCCCCACGTCTGAAGAATGGAGTATTCGCTAATATGTCGTAGTTGATGGATTATCGAAGATGTGGAGGCGTATAATGTCCCAGTCCCCGGCCGGTTCTGATGCGGGTCAGACGCTGCGTTCGCCAAAGATAGAGAGACTCACCCATGCGCGTCCTTTCTAATACAGCTCCGATGTCGCGTTTACTCGTGAGCACCATGAGTGAAAGCAGATTCACCACGTCGGCATCCTCTCCCAACGGTCAAGAGGGGTAGGGAGACGGGCTGTGCACCGGACGCGGGCGCTGCGGTAGCCCCTCCAAATTTTTACTGGACCGACATAAGGCACGAAATACTGTGATGTTCGTAAGTCGAGCAGGAGACCATGAGCGGCAAGACCGGAGCAGATTCCGTAGTCTGTCGCTGTCGATATTGGCGCTCACGCCGTGCAACTCTATGTGCTCGAGCGGACCTGGAGAAGGGGATTCAGACGTTTTCGAACGTTGTGGGGAAGCTCTATCGCCCGTAGATCTCGCTTCAACTTATGGTAATAAGACATACCGTGCGACCGCGTCCGAGGGAGCACTGTTTCTGAAGCTGTTCTTCTGCAGCGTCAGACTCGTGAGCCAAGCCCAGGTGTCGGTTGCCGCCAGCTCAAAAACTTGATGGCCCACGTTCAGGCGCGGGCGAGCCAGGTCGCTTGTGCGACATAGTGGAGGTTAAGGTCATTGCGGAATGGTGAGCGTTTGAGAAGACCAGCGCGAGCCCCATGATCTGTCCTGTCGCTCAAGCCCCTATCCGCCCATGAGAGGGCGAGAAACGACGACGGGCCGTGACCGGGCCGGTGCGCTTTTGCATTCCGAGTGACAAGCCGGTCTTTTCAGTCCCGGAATCGGCATTCGGCCATCAATGTCTCAACGTTGAACGTTGAACTCGAACGCTCATCAACGGATATCCTACTTACATGCACAGACGCGACAATGGTCGTAAGGTAGACAAGAAATATATCGACGGAGGATGGGAATCTACTCAGGTTCGACCCATGGCCTTTCCACCGCGGCACCTTCTTCCTCTGCATCAAAACTCATGGCTTGTATACGCGCAGTGAGATCATTCAGATCTGCCGCCCCGCGTTGCCGCACCTCTTGATCGTATCCTCCCTCTTCGCGTACGGCCTCACGCGGATCCCATGGGATGGGAAGACCCTTCCACCCACCGTTCACGTGGATATAATTGAGGAAGCCTCTCCAGATCGGGTCGAGACCAAGAACATTGGGGTCACCGACAACGATGAGCAGGGCCTGTGCGCGCGTGATGGCAACTGATGAGGGGTTAGTATGTATGCAGTGACCGAAATCAGTGGAAGCGCGCACCGTTGAAGCGGCTTGGGTTTGCCACGAAACCTAGTGTGTGGCGAATGTCGTACTCGACAAACTCACGGCTACTCCGGACTGTCGAGATGAGCATAACGCGACGCTCTTGTCCTTGAAACTCCTCCGTGCTCCCGACCTTGATATCCTCTGCGCCCAGAGCGCGCAGGATCTTCTTGATCTTCTGACACTGTGCGTGATAGGGAGCAACAATGCCGATGTCCTTAGATGCTGACAATGAATCAGCATTAGGGCTCGGAATGCAAGCAGGCATCACCTACAGATTCGGAGGCGCCGATCCGAGCGTAGTGCCTCGACGTATTGCTTGATCTGCTGAACCTCGCTGATGTTGAAGAACGAAGGAGACGAGGCTTCGCGATCGTCTTTACCACTCATAGCATGAAACACGACGGGGAACTTCTTATTGACAAGGACAGAGCTGTCCAAGCAAGAGTTACGAGTGCGCGCATCGGCGCAGGGGACGAGCTCTCCTTCATAAAAGTGTTGATTCGGGTACGTGAGGATCGCTTCATGGGATCGATAGTTGTTGGTAAGCTTGACGACGCTTTACACGACTGTTCAGATAAGTGCCGCGCACATGTAGAGGGTAGGACGTACGTGCGGCCGTGCCAGTTGTGGTGATTGTAAAGCTCCTCGCTCATGAGGCGTTCGAGATAGCTCTTTGCCAGACCAAGCTTGCGCGCAACTGCAGACCGGATGATCGGCCCGAGCTGTCTGGGATCGCCAGCGAGGACAACGTTTGTTTGGAGATCCGCCATTGTCTTGACCGCAATCATGACTTCGGGTTCTGTCGCCTGGCCAGCCTCATCTACAAAAATGGTGTCGAAGTGACCGCGCGGTATACCGAGTCCGTGTGCAAATGATGCCGATACGCAGGTACATACGATTACGCGGTAGCGCTTCAGCGTCGCCACGAGAGGCGCACCGAGGTTTCCGTCGCGGTCCACGAGCGTGTATGGTAGCAGCTCAGTCGGGACGTCATCCTTCGACCGTGAGGGCGCATAGTACCTGAATAGCTGCTCCGGTCGGAGGTGGGTGCTCAGACGCTGAGCTATAAGATCTACCGCTGAGTTGCTCGGCGCACAGATTAGGGCGTGTGTATTCGGGAACAGGGTCACAAACTGAAGTATCGCTTCGACTAGTGTAATGGTTTTCCCGGTACCTGGCCTGTACACCCATAAGTAGAGCTCAAAGCGATCTGGACATGACTTACGGTCCGAATATAATGAACGGTGGGGATCCGCCAGGAAGGTTGGCGATCGCTTTCACAGCAGCCAACTGAGGTGCGTTGCCGGAAATGAGTGGATTGAAAGGGCGAAATCGATTGACTTTGTTGTCCACGTCAATGATATCCTCCTCAGAAGGAAATAGCAGTTGCGCAGCGGAAAATGCGACATCGAGAGCCTGGTGTTGACGGCGAAGAGGGGTGCGATTGAGTTTGAAGCGCACTGAATGACCCTCGCTTCGTTGGAACGGGAACGACACATGGAAACGCAAGCCAACCTCAGCCTGGCGCACAATGTGCACGTGTCCTTCGTACCACTTTCCGCGTGGGGCGCCGGAGGGGTGCACAAAGATACGATCACCTACTGCTGTCAAGATCTCCTCATGTAGCTACGAAAGTAAGACCTACCCTTCAGCACGCTGGGACGCTTTTCGGCCAGCCCAGGAACCTGGAGGCTATCAAAACGCATGAGATAAGGATCGAGGGACGTGCTTGTTCGACTCACTAGTAGATGGTATGTGTCCTGGAGCTCAAAGTGGCGTGGCGGTCAGAGGTTGCTCCGATAGCATGAGCAGTACGGGGTGTAAGCTCAGCGTTTTCGATATCGTAGAATTGGAGATCATGTCTATGCAACCAGTCAGCGCAAGCAACGATCACAGTCATTTTGAGACGTACTCCATGCGGTTTTCTTCTGTCCAGATGACAACCTTCCAAAACCGCCCGTAAGTCTCGGGATTAATCACCGCTGGAAGAAATGTCCTCTTCAGGTCACCGAGGATCTTGTCTGGTGACCCGATCCTGAGAGCTGCGGCAAGATTCTTAGGAATATACGCTCCAGGTAGAGGCGCAACCCATCGTTGCGCATTCGAAACCTCGGGTGCGGGACCCGGAACAATATCTGTCTCTGGCTCGCGGTGGGTACGCGTACGGGGAACGTATGGCGCCTTCGGCAACATGTCCTCATACTCCGCACGATCACCAACTATCGCCTTCAGACCGCGGAGAATGAAGAAGCGCTGCTTTAATGTGATGTCCTCGAAGATGAGCTCAAGACGCTCGTCGTAGTGTCCGATCATGGATTGTCTCAGCGAGACAGTTACACGCTTCTCTCGACCGTAGGATAATGGCGTTCCCAGAGAGTCGCTGGTGGAGATAGAAAAACTGTCGACCACGTGAGACAGAAAGATGATTCGCATCATTCGGAAGCCTCACCTGCTGGGAGAAGACCCTCCGTAGCCATCTGAACGTGCTACCTTCACTTCGTCGAGTCTGACGCGCGCGCGCGGGTCCTCAAGTTTGACGACAAGATCTGCGTATGGGACTTCGCCGGGGTTGACAACCCCGAAGTCGATACCGTCAGGCTTGCTCACGGTCACGCCATTGCGATCCTTCGCAGCGTCGTCCAGCACCGCTTTGAAAGAGTGAAATAGCTCTCGTCGAGCATGCGCCTGCTTCCGTATGTGCTGGGACCAGCGCTGAATGGGCACGACATAGCCGCATGCCGTGCACATTCGGTGGTCATTCGGCACTGGTACCTCTTCAGGTTGAACGTCAGGAGAACGACTTTGCTCAGTTGCTCTATCCTTATGTCTCCCCGACTCGAGATGTTGAAGCCAGGTCTTCGACCCGGATACAGCTTTCTTGCAGATGGGGCAGAAAAAGTTGCCATTGGCGCCAGTCACTTTGTTCAGGTGGCTCCGGCTTTGCAGGTGATGGTCGAGTAACTCTTGGGTGTTGAACGTAACCTTGCAAACATCGCACTTGAGCACAGCATGATCATAGGGGCATGCCGAACTTGGGCAAGATCCAGTGAGTTGTAATGTTGGGCATAGACCAGGACCAGTGGGGCGGGAGGCAAAGCGGCGGGACATCTCGATACCGAAGGTGGGTGGAAGGAAAAGATGCCGTGCATAACGGGGGTGCAATATATATAGGTAACTCAACTGTGGCACTTGGCGCTCGCGAAGCTTTGGGGACAGGCACACACGAGGCTGCATGGGCCGCGGGAACCTTTGTTCGATCGATCGTCGTTGATAGAATGTGGCAGTCATACTGGCAAACAAGAGCCCATACACGAGCTAGAGATGTTAACCGCGCAACTTCGTCGGTGCGCATCCTTATGCTATAAGGTCAGCTTGAGCAAACGGGACTAGGATGAAGCTCGATCGGATGAGCTGTGACTGCGACACATAGGGGTCTTCTTCGTGCCGACCGTGAGACCCGCATACTATCAGTAAAGACGTCGCTACAAACGATGGAAACGTGTTGTAGGAGCTCGCGAAGAATCGCGCTAGGCTGTATATAGACCGCTTATTTTCCCCAGAGGCTGCACACGACGCGGCGCTAGTGCGATTAGCAAGCGATTCACAACGTGTTGTAGGCATGCAGCGTGCTCGCAGCGGCGCCATAAGTAGCGGCCATCAGGCGCAGAGGCAATGAGTTCAAGCAAGTCAGCGGAGTGTGCTACAAGTTTATGGAGTATTCACGAACCTTCACAGAGCCGGGTTGGTGTAGTGTGCCTGTGAAATCGTCGGTCCTGTAAGAAAAGGGCATACATTCTGGTCAATTAGAAGCTTACGACGGTTGTCATCGATGCTAAGTCAACCTGAGCGAAAGGATGTAGGAAGAGGTACATCAGTTCGAGAGCCAGGGCTAGTTGATGGACTGATATAATGGCAACACCCTCACCGGCGCAGAATGAGATGGAGATGGTTGGATGTGGAAGAGAGAGTCCGGAAGACAGCGGAAATCTACTTGAGCGTGAGAGCCCTTGCCCACAACCACCGACCGTCACCCGTCCAGCTGGATCCACAGGAGTCCCGGTGATGAACTCTGAAAGCCCTTCGCCCCCGATCTCTGAGAAGCAGATCCAGTATTTGGCAGTAAACTACATTAGGATGCACTATAAGAAAAGACCTAGCCAAGCAACATGTACAAACAGAAAGCTACAGCCAACAAGATAGGGTAATGTATGCGTGCGTGTGGTGTCGAGCTCAAGGAGACGGTGTACAAACATGCAAAGATTGTATACGGCACATGTATAGCACGAGCGATGCGTGAGGTATGAGATCAAAGCACAGTAAATGTGGATCGTGCAGACTCGTGGATATTCATCAGAGAGAACATGATTTGCGCTTCGTGGCAATATAATCGTGAAGGAGTGATAAGCGATGGCGCAGGGGTATAGGGTGGAGGTGGGAGGTATCAGGGCGAGTACTAGGCAAGCTTGACGTGGCGCAGATTTTGACGTAGCACTATATCGCGGACTAGCAGCGTTACCGCGGTCATCGGAGACGTGTGACGGCGAGCAAAAGAAGCAACAGTGAAGATGAAACGAGATCATCAGCCACCTGCGAAGAAGGCTGTATGTAACGACGTGGACTTACCGCTCGCCAGTATACCGGCTGTCGTCACAGAGTCCTTGGTTGTATTCAGCCTCGTGGGATGAGCGAGACGAAACCGTGACTCACAGTTACTGAAGTGCAGAAGCCGTAGAACTTGCGAGGTAGAGGGGAACTTGAGCGTTGGATAGCACCGAATTTAGAAAGGAAGTCTAGGGACACGCGGGGCGTCGCTGGTCAGTGGCGATACCTTATAGGTCGACCAATGGCATGCTCACATTTGCAAGCGTTCTCCACATCATTTGGACGGTCGCCATATGACTTGACATAGCGTACAAGCGGCACGCCATTATCCAGCTTGCGCTTTAGGATGTCGCATTTATTGAGGAACAAGACCAGGTCAACGTTTGCGAGCAGTTTATTACTGCACATAGCCTTCCAGAGCAGGACCGAGTCCTCTAGTCGGTTGACCCGCTCTTCCTCGGAAAGCACCTGGTCGAAAGCGGATATTGGAGCTAGAAAGATGATGGCATCCACGTCGTCGAAAAAGGGCACCCAGGTAGCTGCGCACTGTTAGCAGCGGCTTGGGGCAAAAGATAACGCGCGGGAGGACTTACGTCTCTGTCAAATGTGCGGAACGCCGAGGCCTCGTCTGAGCCGGAGCACTAGATGAAATCGGTGGGTACGCACCTGGAATCGGGACCCGCCGACGTCTACAATCCGCCACTCCGTCCCCCGCTGATCCCCCGCCTCCATCTCGAACTTGTGTTCAGACACACCGATGGTCTTGAGTCGGGCTTTCAGAACATCGTCTAGGGAAGGCGAGTCAGGGACAATCGATACAGGAGGGAGAAAAGGGTATACCTTCTGACGGGGTATAGTTGGGGTGAGTTATTCGCTCCAAGTCATCGAGGAAGCTACAGAGATAACATGGCCGTCAGTGATCGCCTGACCGGACGCGTCGGACAGGACGCGCAAGACTGAATACTCACAACCCGCTCTCCTCCTCCAACCGGACCTTCCTGATCGCCAGTCGAGTACGTACAGTTCTATTGTGCCACAAACGCAACATATCGTCACGACATTGCACCAAAGTGCGTTGAACCTCGTCTGCTTCCAATTCCCCGGGTGCCAAGCTACGGCCGCCGCGGAAAAGTCCGACCCAACGGCCTGGACGCACAAAGACCTCTTTGAACCCCGCGCGAGGGGGAGCATTAGGTGAAGGCGGTGCCCCCATATCAACAGGTTCTTCCTCGTCAGGCGGTACGAGTTTCGCCTTCAGTAGTGCCTCTGCGTGGCGTAGCGGCAGCAAACGTAGGGCGAGCCCTTCAAGATCGTCATCATCCTCTTCATCACCCCCGAAGTCCGTGCCAGCGCTGGGCGAATGTCCGTGCCTGTGCACATTGGATGCTCGCCGTTTGTGACCGGCACCGCTGGTACTGGCATACAGGCCACTTGGGCCCGGTTGAGACGATGAGCCGAACTCGAAGTCCCCATCAGAGATGGCTTCCTCAATGACATCCATGTCATGCGTCGGTTGGGACTGCGAGGGGGCCCATTGACGCGCAGCATCTTTCGAGGAGCCGGCGACAGGTAATGGCGGGGCATTAGACCAAGATGGCGCACGCGAGCGACCGCTGATCGACTTCTCGTCCGTGGCGCCAGAGTCATATGTCCGTGTGTGCGAGCGTACAGAGCGCGCTGTATGCGAGTTTGAGCGTGAACGTAGTCCGCTACCGGGCGGGGTGGGACCGGAAATGTTGGAGAGGATGGTCTGAATCGACCGGATCAAGTTGAGCTGAATGATGGCGCGCCAGTGCACGCGGTCATTGTTGAAAGCACTCGGCGTGTACAGACGCTGAAACTCTGCGAGCGCATGGGCATCAGCAATATCGGGCGCATACTGTCCGTGCGATACGTACGTCGTAAGGTCGTAGATTTGCCTACAGTGCGGTTGAGTAAGAGGCGTACAGTGAGTGGAACAGTATTTAGCATACCGGATTCGCTTTGGCCGACTAGTAGGACGCGGACAATCTTCTTCTTCTTGTTCGCCAAGCGTTCAGCCCGGATCGCATCGTCAATCCGCTGCGATACCTTTCGGGCCTCGGCCTCGCGCGCCAGACGCAAGGACCGGGCCTCATCGGTTTCGTCTGGAGGCGGCTTGAGAGCCAGCGTGAAGGGATCATCAGTGTCCGAGGAGCCGATCCCGCGCATTAGCCTCCAGGAGAGAGTGAGGAGATGGTGGTAAGCGGTAAAGCATGTATTGGACCGGTTTGCGCTATATTCTCAGCCGCCGCAGGCACCGAATGATTTCAAGCCGAGGCAAAGACTTGGTGCCTTACTGCCGTTATGTACAACCTATCAACCCGGGCCGAGCAAGGCGTATTTTGCGTACGCTCTACGGACGGTCCTTCCAATGGTAGTTCTCAACTGTATTCAAGGGTGCAGCAGAGGCTCGCGCTCAGTTGTTGGTAAGAAGCAAGCATGAAGCGTGCCTGTCGCGGAAGCATCCCCAAGGCACGACAGGCGCGGGAGCTTGTCATCAACCACCACCATGACCCCGCCTCGCTGCCCAATCGCGTTCCGTATCCCCAGTCGGTTGAACACGCCACCAAAATATGCAGACAGAAGCGCTGAGTGTACCTGTAGAGAAGCCCACGCACGCCTGAAAGAACGTTGGGCTTTCTGATCCATGCGACCTTCATCGGGCATTCTCCTAGTCAACCCATCAGCCTATCCCAAGGAAGCAGTCTACCTGGTTCTTGGAATCACATCTTCGGACCTCATAGTACCCATGACATCTGTTGAGCCACTTGAACAACCTCATGGGACTTGCCTGCCGAGACACGCTTTGTTGCGATAACTTCGCCCGGATCTCCTCACAAGGTGCCCAAACGATGTTTATCAGCTACTGGCTGTTGTGCACGGGCCTTATCCGCGTTGCTCCCACCGTCGTCTACTGTGTTACAAGTAACGGTCTTTTCGGGCTTAACGACACGCGTGTAGCCCCTGTACGTCCCTTACTCTGTAACCCATAGATCCGCAGTTCCTGACATCTCCCTGGCGAAGCTCTAATCAACGTTCATCAGTGCCGTCAAGGCATGCCTCACTGCCCCCTTTTCTACTTCTTGGACGTCCAGCGTCTTCCCTATAGAGGACCCTAGAGCGCTCGTGCGATCTGATTCTCGATTGCGGTCCCGGGCGCAGGCACACAGAGAGGTCGCCAGTCTAGACTGTGCACCCCGCAGGTTATTTCGAAGGGGCGAAGCTCTAGTTTTGTCGTGAAGACCAGGTCGCCCCCTCGAGCCACACGTCTTCAGTTCCTCAGAAGCTGACGCCATCTGAGAAGCAAGCCCTCGACCTACCCGAACTCTGACATCCTGGGTGTAATGATAGCCTCGCCCCACGGTTCTTTCTATTCCACGATCGACGCCGACAAGGTTGGATGCCGGTCTGTTGTTCGTCCGTGTTCACTGCGCAATCCCCCGAGGACGATTCCAACTGTCGTGCGAAGAAGTCGGGAGTTCCCTCCTTCCGCCCCTATAGCATTCGACTGGGTCACGCACGGGACTGTTTTCCGTACGGTTCATCATCGAGCGAGTGCTCCTGACTTTGAACCATACCCGCCTGATGATCTTGTGCGCCTTGTCTACCCGTCCCTCATCGTCAACGACAACCTTCTCCAAGACTCCTCCGGCTCTGTTTTACTGCGCCTCTGAGCCACACGCCACGTTGCATTAGCACACGCACGCAGATCCTTACGTGCGGGTAAATCTGGCGTCTACTGCATCCGCAGTGCGCTCATCGTCAGGCTGCGGGCTATGTCCGCCGCGCAAGTGTCGTACCACTGCCCTCTCCAACTCTGGGAGAACGTTCATGGATGGGCGTGCCTGTGCTCTGCAACTTCGGGTAGGGTTCAACCTACGTTGTGCCCGCGCCCGGCAACGTTCATCGAAATGTATCTAGCGTACAAGCCGATGTGAGCAATAGAGGGAGCTGCCAATCAGACTACATGAATATGAAACCCAGTACTCGTACCCACTTGTCGTCAGCTTCAGAATAAACCATCGAAAGAGTGTACCATGGTCCGGTGTTTTCAATCACGATGAAAGGGTGTCCAGTTGCAAATATCATCAAAAGCACATATAAATATACCGAGTGATTCAGTGACATCGCTCGCGCTGTGAACTTGTCTTCTCAGCAAATGATAGAACCTGAGAGACTTCTGGTATGTGTCGAGCGCGCCACTCTACGAGGAGTTCACAGCCATCAGCGCTGAAAGCTCGCCTCCTGGCACCGCGACCTTGCACATCACTGCGCAGGTCATGCCTCCATGGGTCAAGCTAGCAGTCAGTAGCTTATATCAAGCCACTAAGCCTTAAGAGTAAGGTCTAAACCATAAGCATGCGATAAGCATACACTACTGAGCCACCAACTACATATGTGAGTCCCAAAAGGTCGACGTTGACGTTGACGTTGAATGTCGATGATGCGCAGTCCACCTTTGTGCCCCTATTTCACCGAGCCGCGCGCAGAGGCCAGACCTCTGCACACGCGCGTTGCACACGCGCACCTTCGTATCTACCTCCTTCTGCCTTGAATGCCTGGACATCCTCCGTACTATCGGTCTGTGAACCGATGGCTTGAGAATGAGTGTATGCCCGAGCAAAGCCCACCGGGACTACGCCGACGTGGCAAGAGCCAAAAACTGACTCCGAGCTCGAGATCGGATATGTCGGCCTCGGCGAGCTCGAGTCATCGTACTCGACCCTCATCTTCGTACCACCACCATCTCACCTCAGACGATAGGTCTGAGTCAAAAGCGACGGTTCGACGAACCGTGGTACCACTAATCGCGGCTGAACGCCCGTCCGTCACACTATAGAGCGCCCGCGCTTTGGCATCTGTAAATCAACTTCATCATGGCTTCATCACCTTCCTCCTCGCGCACCACCACTCCCTCCCCGACGAGGTCCTCTGCGGCGGACTCGTTAGCATCGCTTTCTCCACCAAGGACACCGCCAAATCTTCACCAAAACTCGATTGACCCAGCGGCGAGATGGGTTGTACAAAAGTACGGCGGTACCAGCGTCGGCAAGTTTGCGCAAAGAATCGCGAGCGAGATCATTCCGTACGTATCACTTCGTTGCGCCTCAAATTAAATGACTGAAATGTTCTCTCAGGAGCTTTCTGGACGACCATAAGCTTGCCATTGTCTGCTCTGCGCGTTCCGGCTCAACAAAAGCTCTGGGGACTACGAACCTACTTCTCAGAGCAGCTTCTGAGGCCTTGCGCCCCCGACAGACATCAACACAAGCGACATCGTTCTCGTCTCCAGCTCCATCTGGCACACAGACACCTCTCAACACCAGCATGTTCCTCGAACGTGCGCGCTCGTTCTCAGGCTCGCCGCCCAGAGCCGACTCCGGGCAGCCTGCCTTCAGCGCCACCGTCGACGTAATCCGAGAACAGCATCTACTTGCTGCACGTGAAGTGGTCCGCGACAGTAGTATACGAGCCGAGCTGGAGGCGGAAATCGCGCGAGATTGTGACGGTCTTCGCTCGTTCTTGTTAGCGACTCAAGTCCGTACATTGACGTATCTGGCTCGCCACCCAACACTCATCAGTCTTCCAGGTCATCGATGAGATATCGCCTCGCTCAAAAGACAGCATCATCGGCTTCGGTGAGAAGCTAGCGTGTAAAATCATGGCAGCGGCCCTGCGGGATCAGGTAAGCACCATGAGCAAGTACTTTCCCTCAAGGTGCTCAACCACGTATAGGGCATCGACTCCGAGTTTGTATCTTTAGATGGCATTGTACCACCACACGAGGACCATATAGAGGGTTCACTGGGCCAGGATTTCTATGATAAAGTCAGTGCCGCGTTTGCCGAGCGCATCAACGCCTGCGGTCCGCGCGTTCCGGTCGTGACAGGTCCGTTCGTACCGCACACGCTTCGCATGTCGACTCTCATCCCACATTCCCAGGTTTCTTCGCTCCGGTACCAGGCTCTCTCCTCCGCCAAGTCGGCCGAGGCTATACCGATCTTGCGGCGGCCTTGCTCGCGGCTGGCCTAGATGCAGCCGAACTTCAGATCTGGAAAGAAGTCGACGGGATATTCACCGCTGACCCGCGCAAGGTGCTCACCGCGCGCCTCATCCCCGTCATCTCGCCCGAGGAAGCGGCGGAGTTGACGTACTACGGCTCAGAGGTCGTTCACCCGTTCACGATGGAGCAGGTCATTCGTCGCAAGATCCCTATTCGCATCAAGAACGTCGAGAATCCTAAAGGTGGAGGCACAGTGATACAACCTGATGCGGACACATCTGCGTCGGGCAGTACGACTGGTAGTGCGGCGGATGGCTGGGAGCCTCAGGCGTTGAATATGGGCACGGGCACGATAGACCCAGCTCATCTCGCGCTCGCGCTCGCAGATGGGATCGAGTCGGCTCCCACCAGGAAGTTGCCGACTGCTGTGACGATCAAGGAGAGGATCGTTGTACTCAACGTACAGAGCAATCGCAAGAGCGTGAGCCACGGGTTCTTAGCGGGGATATTCGGCACGCTCGATCGGTTTGGAATTGTGGTGGATCTTATCTCGACGTCAGAGGTTTACGTCTCGATGGCCATAGAAGATATCTTTGACCGCAAGATACTCGCGCGTCTTGTACGCGAATTAGAGAAGTTTGGCACCGTACGTTCTACTCGCTTCTCAACGTCTCTTACCGACCCTGAATATCGCTGTCAAGGTTTCCGTACATCGCGACATGGCCATCCTCTCGTTAGTTGGCAAGCAGATGCGCAACCTGGTCGGGATTGCTGGTCGCTTTTTCGCCTCGCTTGCACAGGGCAACATCAACATTGAGATGATTTCTCAAGGCGCGAATGAAATCAACATCTCCTGCGTCATCGATGCCCGCGACGCCGTTAAGGCGCTCAACCTCATCCATCAATCGTGTCTTCAGATCAAACCCGAGGGTCCCAAGGGGAGAGGTACGTGTTTGATCTTATGCTCTCGGGCGTATTCATCACTCACATGGATTACAGTTGGCCCGTGGTTGTTCTAAAGGAACTCATGCAATAGACTTTTGTAGTATAGACCGCATTATTGTATCCAACTACTCACTGTACACTACATCAATCATACGAGCTACGCCGTTCAACTCGGCGCCTGGGAGACCATTCGATTCGGTGTCCCTGAGGCTCTGCTTTGCCATGATCACCGCCCGTGACGTCGAGAACCAGCGCGTCAATAACACACGTGACCGCGACATGATCTGTGGTTGTCCATGGTGAGCGAACTAGACGCATTGTAGACGAGATACAGTTTCTCGACGATGTATGCCTGTACTCTGGTGCTCCTGTAACCGGTATAACAGGCAGGCGCAGGAACAGCTGTCTACGCGAGGCGTGAGATCAAACGGGCACGTTGCTTCGGTGGTTTGTTTCTTCACGCGCCTCGCGTCTTGCCATCAACCATAACCTCAACCGCGTGCAGTGCCTGGAGTGGTTGATCCTCAGCTCTTCCTATATAGCGTGTTGGGTGCAAGAGGTGAGCCCCTTGTCCCTCGCCGTCATGAGCGCCTCTCCAGCTACCGTTGGTCTTCCGCCACAGACTCCATCTAAGCCCGACTCCTCTGCGCAAGCGTCGACCTCGGAGAAACGCACTCCCCCCTCTCATCTAAGGTCCTCAGTGGCGACGTCTACTGCTGGACAGATCCTCAATCAACATCTCTTTCACCTGAACGCAAAAGATATGGAAGGTTGGTTCAACAGTATACACGTCTCTTCTCTTCCATGCCTCACCGCCATCTTGCAGGGAAATGGTTGGGCCCCATTGCCATCGATAAATTCAAGAAAGATTTCGGACCCAAGTCTCGCAATGGTCACAACTTGCCCACCGTGAATCTCTTCAAGGACTTCGACACGACCGTCAAGGGCGAAAAAGCATTCGTTCGTGTGCTTGATAGTCCATATAGGCGTTTCAACTGACTATTTGTGTTTTGTATCATAGGTTCAATCCATTCTCGACAGTGGTCTACTGAAGGGTAGCGACCTATGGTGCAAGGATACCCACAACATTTTTGGACGGGACGTGACCACCGACGCCGATCACGCGTTGAAGTTCTCCCCAGACGTGTCGTTCATGGGCAGCGATTACCTCGACATGAAAGCAAGAAGCGAGGAGCGTTTGGAGCGGCTTCTGGGAGATATATTGTTTTTCGGCGATCTGAAGGGCAGCAATAGTCAAGATCCTTGCCGCTACATCACGAGCGACGCTGATCGTGCTCTTCTGGGAAGCGTCGCCGTGGATGGCGCTGACTCGGACCTGGCCTTACTAGTGCGCGGGCAGTTTGCTTGCTACGCGCGTGCCATCTGCGCAAACAGTCATCGCACACATCTTCACGCCTTCATCATTCTGCCCGAATACGCCCGCTTGCTTTACTTCGATCGCAGTGGTGTCGCATTCTCCGAACTCTTCGATTGGAGGAATACGACACATCTCGCCGAGTTTATTCTGAACTTCGCTCAGGCTTCGGCCCTTGAGCGTGGTATTGACACCTCGGTGACCAAGGTTCCTCGTCAAGATACCCTTGTGCAGCAGGCGCACAAGATATTCCGGGAGGCGCGGGAAGCCAACGACGTGTTGCCGGATGAGGTCACCTGGGAAAGCGTCTTCAAGTCCACCAAGAGTGAACATACGACGTACTGGCTGTGCAACGTTTACGACGAGGTGTCAACAACTTTCCACCGCGTTCTCACATATCGCGTACATACCTCGTCTCCGTACTTCGCCGGGCGCGCCACGAAGGGCTATATCGGGGTTGACATCGACGAGGGGATCGTTGCGTACATGAAGCGCAGTTGGCGCATCGCCGATGACGCTTTTCCCAAGGAGCGCGACATCTATCGCTTATTCGACACTCCCGACAAGAACGGCAAAAGCGTCCCTCATTTACCCGGGTGCTACTTCGGCGGCGACGTACCACGCGACTCAGACGCGCTGTCTGCGCATTACTTCGAGTGGAAGTCCACCGCGAAGCCCGGAGAGACCTGGACACCGCCCTCCTCCATCGAGTTCTTCAAGACCAGGATGGCCGATTACGCGGATGCACACCAGGAGTACAAGGATATCCGTCGCGGCGCCTCAGCTCTCGGTCGCGCTAGCCTGACGGATGCGGATATCGAGATGACGTCGTACATCTTGACTGTGACGCTTTTCAAGAGGATTGGGAGCAAGCTTCGCAACTTCAAGAGCACTCGCCAGCTCTGTATTGCGGTTCGCGACGCCATCGAAAGTGCGTTCCTCGATTGAGTTCTTACTGTGTGAATTGATCCTGACTGCATATCCGCTTACAGCCCACGACGCGGCATACCATCTGTGGAATGTGCTTCATCGTGACATCAGCGAGGGGAATATCCTCATCGCCAAGGTCAAGGGCAAGCCGGGACAAGTGGAAGGTCTGCTCATCGACTGGGATCTCTGCATCGAACTCAAGAAATATACTGAAGCGCGCCGTAAGAGCCGCACGGTGAGTCGTACCTCATGACTGCTTTACCTCGGTTGGCTGATTGTCTGTTCGCGCAGGGAACTTGGGCGTTTATGTCAGCCCGTATGCTCGAACAGCCAAAGGGCTTTGCGCACGAAATATTTGACGATCTGGAGTCTTTTTGTCACGTCTTACATTGGCATGTACGTTCATCCACTCACTTCCGATTTGGATTAGCCCCTCATTGATAACTAGGTTCTTCGCTTCCGGCATACGACTGGTTTAGGCCCGGGCAAGAAGGGGGATCTATGGGCTGCCATGGGTCGAATCTTCAACCCTGACGAGACCCAGTTGACCGCCGGTGCCGCTGCGGACCAGAAGCAGAACCTCTTGAGGGGATCTATCAAACCTGTCACACAGGCCAGGAGGACCATTCACCCGCGAGAGGTCCAGGACATCATGGTCGCGTTCTGCAAACCCTTCAAGCTATACTACGCGCAGCCTCCGGACGCCCCGACTGTTTTCGAGCTCGACGATCCCGATTTTATGGTCGAGTACGATAAGCTCGTCGCCGATCACGAGGCCGACGTCGATAAAGGATATAAGATGTGCACCCACGCGTATATGCGACGCGTTTTGACCGCCCATATCGACGCCAACGAGTCGTGGGTCCAAGACGGGCCTTCTCAAGACCAGTACCCGCCCCACATCCGTCAAGCTGCGGCTCAGGACAAAGATATCGATCCCTTCTACCGGGAGACGGCGACGGGCGTCAGCATCAGCCGACCATCCGAAGTCGCCAAGGCGCCGTCGAAGCGCCCGTTCGGCGACTCCGACGGGACGCTCTTCGACTCGCGCTTCTATAGCCATGGATCTGGTCGTACGAGCGGTTACACCACCGAGGTCACCGCCGCCAGCGATACAACAGATGGTGCGCGCAAGAAACAGCGCACGGCTTAGGGTGTTTCCTAGTATGTCCACGACTCATGGATTGATCACCTCCATATGTTGCGAGTGTATCCATGTCTTTTTGTATTGTGCTTCCTGCTGTATTACGAGTACTTAGAATTCATTTCGAATGCATGTGTATGATTGTACTCATATGTTGTGATACGCAAGAAGCGATTGTCTGTGTCTAATACCCGGATTGGCGGCGGCGTCGACTAGGACCAGCCTGAAAGACGCGTTTTCTCGCAACTCACGTTACCGCGCGACGGCCCAGTCGCTGAGAATGGCCGCTCCACCCGGTTTGCCACGAACCACCACAATCATAGCCTACCTCTTCCCTGAGAAGGGCAGTTGCCATTGACGTACAGTCGCTGTGGAATTCAATCAGTGTCTGCTTTCTTCCATTGCTATTAGCCAGTTCCTCCGTCTTGTCTACCAATGGTTTGTGCAGCTTGTCAATGCGTTTAGTACCAAATAGCGGCCTTACACTTGTAATGCAACCAAATGCAGGTATCACAACGCACACGAGCTCTGTGGTCATCGCTCTCACAAATATTTCCTCCTCGCGCTCGATGGTCGACGAACGACATGCTCGACTTGACCGGTAACGTCGCGCTTGTCACAGGTATTGCCATTCATTCGTGAATTCGCAATAGAGCTTGAACGGGAAACCTCGCAGGAGGTAACGCCGGCTGCGGCCGCGAAACCGTTAAGGCGCTTCTTTCGCACGATGCGAAGGTCTACCTCGCGGCGCGAAGCGAGGATAAGGCTCGGCAGGCTATCGAAGAGCTGAGAGACGAGACTGGCAAGGAAGCAGTGTTTCTACAGCTTGACCTGGCAGATCTGGCTGCTGTGAGGTCGTCCGCGGACAAGTTTTTTTCACTGGCAAGAGAACGTTTACTGCGCTGAGAGACGTACTCAATCTCAAGCCTGGCCGAAACAGGAACCTAAACTGCATATGCTCTTCAACAACGCGTGAGTTGTCCTGCCACCAATCTGGCCGGCTTTCACTCAATACTGTGAACGAATAGCGGTGTCATGGCTCCTCCAGTCGAGATGACCACAGCTCAAGGCTACGACCTCCAAGCAGGCACGAACGTCATAGGACACTACCTCCTCCACCACGCTTCTCCTACCCGCTCTCCTGGCAGCTAGCGAATCCGGACACAAAGCGCGCGTGGTGACCACATCTTCCATCGTACATTACTACATCGACCGCTTCCATTACGACTGGGTCGTAGATGGCCCCGCTCGTCGTAAAGTCGGGATAAGAGACTTGTACAAGAACAGTAAGTTCGTAAGTGGAGATCTTGTAGCTCGCCCTGGTGTCAGACTGATTGAATGCGCTACGTTCTGTAGGGTGATGCGGTCCTTGCCCGCGAGCTAGCGAGACGATACGGCGACAAGATCATCTCGACCGCTTGCAATCCCGGCAACCTGCACACAAGTCTGCGGAGGCACATGTCGCCATGGCAGGTAGCCGTTGTCGTGAGTTGTGACGCGCTCACGGAACATGGCCAGGTTAAATGGGCCTAACAATCTACGTAGAACTTCTTGATGCTCTATCCTGCCGAGAAGGGCGCGTTGACGCAGCTCTATGCTGCTACGGCACCAGAGGGCGAAGACGTGAACGGACAGGCAAGGGCGGTTCCCCGTTTTGTTGCGCGGCGTGCATTGTTGACCGCACACGCAGTTCCTCATTCCATGGGCCCGTGTGGGAGAAGCGCACCCCGCGGTCAGCGATCCAGCACTCGGAGCTGAGTTCTGGCAGTGGTTGGAAGTGCAGTGCAAAGCATATGCAGAATGAACATGAGAGCAATGCGGTACTACTAGCCTCAAGACTCGTCCATCTCAACATCTCCCTCTTTATGCGCGTCTTCAGCTTGCTCAACGCTGATGTGACCCGCTGCTCTCCACACATTACCTTGCGTCGCTTTCCACAGACGCACGCGTCCATCATTGCCTGCAGATGACAGTACCGTCCTGTTGTACGCAGATCAGCAACCGCGAAGATGTCCTGCACATGTACCAGGCACATACCCAGTGACATTCCATTCTACCCTCCCAACAGCACCCTTATGATGATCGAAATCGGCTACTTGCACACCCGTCCAAGTGTTGTCCTCCGTTTGCGCACGCTCCTCATCGTACGCTGGCGGTTTGAGTTTCCATATCCTCACATGCCCGTCTCTACTCCCGGTAGCGACGAGGTGGTATGACCGACCGCAAGATGGTGCCCATGCAACGGAGGTGACGGACGCGAGCTGTGGCACTTCAGCATCACTTGCGCTGGCTGTTGCTGATGTAGCTGCTTGGTCTGCTTGAGGCGAGGGGTCCAGGGTGAAAAGAGTTGTTGGACGGCGGGAGGGCGATATCTGGATGATCTGTGCGAATAGCGATTGTCAGACTGAGGACTATAGTCAAGAAACGACCAACTTACCTTTACAATCCCAGTAACGCTAGCGCCGGCTGCAATGACCTCACCCCAATACCTATCCTTACACCAGCTTATACACCACCCACCGTCGGCCTCTCGATTGCCCACTCCAGGCCTGTTTGGTAGATGTGGTTGGTGCTGCTGCAGAGCGCTGGCCACGAGACTCGCTGTAGGACCGTCCAGTGCGGAATGCGTTTGTGTCGGGGTAGTCATCGCTACTGTGTGCGGGTGGGAGAGCGAAGCTGGGGCGTAGGTTAGGCTGAGGACGTCGACTTCTTCGGACAGTGGCCAGTTGGAGAGCGTTGGGGTCTCGAGACATTCATAGATGCGGAGGATATTGTCTGAGGATATGGTAGCCTGCCGAAGGTCAGGGAACTGAAACTAAGATCCCAGCGATAAAATTCACATACCAACTTCAAGCCAAAATGATGTGGCGCAAACTCGACAGCCCTGACACTGCCTTTCGCCTCCGTGATAACTGCGCGCTCAACCCAGCGCGAGCCAGACGGTACACCTGACGCCCCGTTCACCTGAGGCTGTTCTGTATCCGCTAGTAATTCCTCCCATATCTTCACTGTGCGGTCGAACGAACTAGACGCGATGATGGACCCAAATTCGGGGTGTGCCCAGCAGATCTTCGTCACAGCAGCATCGTGGGCCTACACTATGAATTAGCTTCACGAGCTCGTGCATGATAGTAGTACCCGGTACCTTCCAATCATGCGTGGCAATCCAGCTACCGCTCTGTTCGTCCAGCGCCCATACTTTCAGGCTGTACCATGGTCAATCGACGCGTAGAGTGCGAATGTAGGATGGGAGAGACCGTTGATCGAGACCACTCGTGGCTAGACGAAGGCCGTAGTAGTCATATGCGGCGTCAGTGACGAGGTCGTTGTGCGCGTTCTGTATCAAGCCGGTCTGCATCGCGCAGTGGTGGTTCAAGTCGAACGCGTCTCAACGCGTCGCGCGTGTTGGTGCCACTTGCTCTTGACGTCCATCATCGTCGATCAATGCTACACACTAGAGACATTGGTCCATGTTTCGACTCAGAACATGGTAAAAAGCATGGGAAAAGCATGTCTGGCATCAAGAGGGGTACATGCTTTCTCCCATGATTTCACCATGTTCTGAGCCCGAAAAGCGACCGATGCCCGTAGTGACAATCACACAGACCGACCGCACTGTGCCTTTTCATCCCGTAACAAGACACTATGAACTTGGATTTACACTTCTTTCGTACTGTATACATGCTATGAGTGGTGATGACTATTGGATACGAACGCTGCCCGTCCCGTCTACAGAGACGACAGGCGTGAGCGCTGGTGGTGGCGCCTTTACTCCTTGTACGAGGTCAACTTGGAGAATGTAAGGTCGACGCTCGCCAGCGGTCCGACTTTCGACACAAGGGCCCAGTTCTCAGGGCGGTGGACATACGCCGACACGACCTATGGAGCCTACATCAACCTCACCATACACCTTGCAAGCGTCCTAGTACTCACCTCGGGACTGGTCCAGCCGCCAAAGAACAACACATCTCCTGAATCGACGTACTTCCCTCCAAAGCCGCCCACCGAGATGCCCTCTTCAACCGCTTTGTTCACAACACTCTCGACGCCGTGAACAGCCTCTGCTAACTCTTCGGCCTTAGCGCCTTGTTTGAGTCCGAGCCAGAGGAACTCGGTGAAAGGTGCTTTGAGCGTCACGAGGGGGTCCTTCTCGAAGCGGACCAGGTGCGTATCGGGCTTGGCAGCACTCGGCGCGAGTGCGGGGTTAAGCGCTGCGAGGAAGTCGGTGTAGGTGGAGGAAGACTTGAAGGACGCGTGGTCCTCAGCCGAATCCCAACCTTCAGATAGTGCATGTATGAGTATCTGGTGTAATAAACTGTCCTGGCTGCAAGCTTTGCTCACCAATGGCCATAAACAGGTTTGGTTGCTGCAGCTGAGTGCCCGCGAAGATCCTGTACGAGGCGCAGATCAGTCAGGTATATCACCAAACACACAGGCTGCGCAGTATTAGCACGCACGAGGTGGTCTTCTGCGCCTTCAGGATGTCGACAGCCGGCTTCAGCACGGACGCGTCCTTAAGCAGTGCCTCCGAAGCGGCCTGGCGAAGAACCTGGAAGAAGCTGGCGCTAGACATGGTGTAGGGGAAAGCTGATAGGTTCGATGGTTTACAGGTAAAGGATATGTTCTGATCTGGCTATAATCCCATCGCGCCCCCGAACTTAAGTACCACCCGAACAGTGACGACCCGCAAGCCAAACCAACACCGGCGCTTTCACCATCGGCTGACTCCGCTACTGCCAGCCGGGAAATTGCTAAGGCTCATACAAGCGTACCAGCCATCGTCGTCCGGTGCCGCGCCACTCGTTTGATGGCAAAGCGCAATCGCCGGTATGGCGTGATCGGTTGATCAGTGGGTCAGTGTGGGTGCATGGCCAGGATTGGCTTCGGCGTGCCGAACGTATACGCGTCGAACGCTTGCTGAAGAACAGGTACTCGTCGTGTTAAACATGAACCGTATCGGAGCGGAACGGTGCTATTGAACGATAGACTGAGTGGGCGCGTGTGGAACCAGGTGGGAACGCGCGGTAACGTGAGTAGCAACCTGAACGCGTCCTCCGTACAACGTCTCACGGGTTGATTTATGAGTTCTCAAAGCAAGCCCAAGGTCCTGTCCGAACGTATTCAAGCCAAGCGCACGACAAGATCGTCGCCAGGTGATGGCCAACGAATGGTCGGACGAAGCGGCGTCTGGCTGGGGTTAGGGTTGGGGGCCCTTACCAATGATGACTCGAATGCCGCACGTCTCGATTATCGATATCTTCAGCCGTGCAGCCGTACAGCGACGACAATTGCATATATGTGCACTGGCAATACGAGATGAATGACTGCAACGTATTCACGGGATAGTGCTAGATGGGCTTGCGGAAACGACTTCATGTTCTTTGACGATGGGTGCCATACGACGTGAGGGAGTGATGCACGGTAGCGGTACAGCACGAATGCGTATACGCTCGAACAGAGCCTCGCACGGTTTCATGAAAGCCTGACAAGGCATGCTATCATACAACTCTGAATACAAATACATTACGTATGTCAATCGCGCGGCTACTTGCGGCGGGGCGGGAGGCCCGAGGTGTCATGGAGAGCGTTGGGAACAGCGCGCTCAACTTTCTCAGGAAGTTTCTACATTGATATTGTGAGCGTATGTACCGGTACACGCGAGCGATCGTAGCATACCTGCTGAAGCGTCTCGGGAACGATGGACTTTCCGGTCGCGTGTGAGCGACCTTTGCCAGCGGCGTCCTCGCCAGGCGCGGGGTTGCCGGCGAGCGCGGAGTTGGCAGTGCCCGCGTTCATGTGCGAGTCCTGGTGGAGCTCATCGCGCAGGAGATCGGTGTCGCGCTGGGCGTGCGAGGAACCGTGAGCGGCAGCGTTGGGGTTGGCCTGCATCGTAGACGTTGACAGTGAGATGGGTGGTTGAGTGATTGGTTGCGTTGTGGTAGGCGTTGGGTGATGGGCAAGTGTAATGTACTGACAGCTCTTATACGCAGGAAGGGTGCCCCTGTACACGGTCGAGCCGAAGGCGTCATACGCGTTCAGCGCGTCAGAGGTTCAGATCTCGAGCGGCGAACGGGAGCAAACTAGGAATGTTGACAGGCATTGAGCACGCGCTGACGTTCGCGCCGCATGCATCCTCGAGACTTTCTCATAAATATGAGTGTAACCGGGCCGTGGGTGGACTTCGAATTCAATCCAGCACAGCAGTTGGAGGCATTCAGCGGCGGATCGAGTCTTACTCGGGCAACGTTCGGTCACCGGTAAAACGCGGATCTATATAGTACAAGTACGCACATTGTTGGGAGATTACGTTGAAGCTTACAAGGAGCAGTTGACAATGATTCAGACAAGCCACAGCATATGTTACCGCATTATCCGCTCAGTGGTCAGGCGTGTTTAGCGCACTCTGCCTCCAGATATTCCCACAGCTTCTTGCCGATCTCAGGCTCCACCGCGGCAGGGTTGGGTGTACCAACGCGGGCCCACGGAATCAAGTACTTGCCGTTTAGATCGGCGCCTTCGGAAGATGTACCGGCCCAGACTATCATATCCAAGTCAGTGTACTGCGCGTATCGGGTCGACTTCGGGCCGAACGTACGCTGAGTGTAAGCGCCCATGTGCGCCGGGTATTGCAGAAGAGACTGTATATTTTTCAGCATGGACCATGACCCGTACAAGAGAGCAGACGTACGAGCATGAAGGCCTCCATGGCACCCGAGTGCCGGCCCAGCTCCGTCTTGAGTGTACCTGGGTTACAAGCTGTGCTGACGAGTACATCCCCATGTCTCCTCGCCAACTCTCTCGCGAACACCAGATTGCCGAACTTGGAATCATTGTACAGTGTCATTGGAGCCTGCTTGCGACGCCCATCGCTGTCGGTGAACCAATCAAAGTGCACAGTGCTCGTGAGACCGCTTGCAAGGCTCGTGGTGCTGACGACGCGCGCTTTTGTACCGGTGGAGGATGCATTACGGAGAGCGGGAAGAAGGAGCGTTGTAAACAGGTAGTGTCCGAGGACGTTTGTACCGAGTTGCATGTCGTATCCTTGCTCTGTAAGCTTGTCGGCGGGAGTTCCCATCACACCTCTATGCGCAATCAGGGAAGCTGAATGTAAGCCGATGCTGCGATCAGACGCACGCGTTGCAGAACAATACATTCAAGGTATCCTCCTTCCTATTCAGGGTGAGCGATGATATCACATGTATATAGATGCGAAGGATGACGCGTACGCGAGAAAGTCAGAGGCCGCTTGCCGTACTTGTTTGAGGTCACTGAGGTCAAGCTTGAGGAAGATGGCCTCCTTCCCGGTCTGCTCTTTTAGATGCTCTATAGCTCTTTGCGCGCGATCTGGGCTTCGCGCGGCGAGGTATACTTTGGCGTTATGCGCCAGCAGAGCCTGTTGCACCTTAGGGACAACTTCGGTAGAGCAAGATAACGACTCGAGACGAACCTTACAGGTCTCCCTTCCAACGCCCGAGTTGCCACCTGAAGGACGTCAAGACAAGCGCCGTCTGGTACTGACACGTGACATACCTGTGACAATGATGACCTTGCCAGAGAGATCAGGAATGTCTTCAGGCGTCCACTCGGCCTTCGGAGGGAACGTCTGTGTGTAGTAAGAGTACACGTTCCCCATGACTGCTGATGTCAGATGAAGGGGAGAGAGTAGGAAAGACGCCACAGCCAGGAGTGGCGGTCTATATACTCGAGAAAGCGGGAGCCGAAGAGCGGATTGGAAGTCGGATGCCTAAACACAGGCGCGTCCTTGACAGCTTCCATGCGCAATGCATTCTGGATGTTGCTAACACAGCGTCTTCCATGGCGCCGATCCAATCTGGCATTTGGTATTCCTATTCGGGTCAGGACGAGCAGAGGCTGTTCGCAGATCGTAAACGGCGCAATTCCGGACCTTGGGTTGAGCAGCTAAGTCGAAGTGACTAGATATACACTCCCGTGTGCCCGGTGAACAAAGCCTCTTCAGGCGACTTTTCAATCAGTACATTTTGCACGGCAATCAGACTTCCTGAAGCGTAAGGGCTCGTATTCGCTTCGTCGGCGATATCACAGATACAGGTTGGAACACATGCTCTATGGCGCGCGCTTAATCTGCCATACCTTCGCCACTCCGTCATCGCCGACGGAAGCGAGTAAATCGCGGTGACCTTCTCGTGGACACCAAGATACAGCATTCACGTCTGCTACGCCATGAGCATTCTCGAATCTTGCGATGAGCTCACAACGCGGCGGGCTCTTGTCGTCGGTGTTCTCTTCGTCCTATACACGCAGTGAGCAACCTTTGAGGGTGTATACGTAGAGATACGTACCTTAAACTCGTACACGTTTATCCGTCCATCTCCGCCAGCGCTCGCCAGCCGGCCAAGTCCAGTACCATCTCCTGGGCCCCATGAGACCGTGTAGATGGTGCGGGAATGCGCGTCCTTGATGACATGCACGCATTCCCACTTGTGCTCCTGTACACGTTTCCACAAGCGGATGGTGCAATCGTCTGAGGCGCTGGCGATGTACCTCCCATCGGGCGACCACGCTAAAGACCAGACGGTGGAAGTATGTCCGCTGAGAGTTGCGAAGCAGAACCAGTCCTCCTGTGGATCGTCTATGTAGAGCTTTATGGTGTCATCATACGACGCTGATGCAAGGATCTGCGCTGCGGCGGAGACGAACGTGAGTTGGCGGAGGTGGGAGTTGAGCGAGTAGAGGAAGACTGACATCCTCTTTGGGGTGCCAAGCGACGCACTTCACATCTTGAGTGTGTTCCATGAGGACGCCCATGCATTCGAAGTCCGAATCCGGCAGCGCTGCATGATAATCCTTATGTCAGCGTCCACACCAGACGCAATTGGGCAACGTACCCTCCCATACCCAGACAGTCTTATCTCTAGAGCAACTTGCTAGGAGATTTCCCTCCGGAGACCACGCAACGGACTTGCATTCCGTCTCGTGCCCCTCCAACATACAAGCGCACTCCCAATCGCCCTCTTCGTCATCCTCCGCCCCTTCACGCTGCCAAACGCCGATATTCGAGTCGAACGAGCCAGTTGCAAGAGATACGCCATTGGGAGACCAGGCGACAGAGCGTACTGTTTTCGTATGACCCGTCGGTATAGAAGTGTGCAACGAGAATGTCGGTACAGTCGCGTCAGGTGGATTGCTATAATTGTACAGGCGTACAGTCCGATCCGCAGAGCATGTTGCCAGTAAAGGTTTCGTCGGGTTCCATGATATGTCCCAGGCGCGGTCCTGGTGACCTGGTGAGGATATTTGTCAGCTCTGCTTCTTACATACACAGATAAACACACACCCGGCAGTTCCGCGATCGACTCAAGCGTATATGGTAGATCGACCTCCATGACGAGTTATGCCAAGGGGCTATAGCTACAGACAGTCGTGCGTATTGATACAGGTCCGGACTTGAAATACAGTAGCACGGGCAAGAGGGTCGAAGATTGACAGATGATAGTTCTCAGAGAAGATAACTCGACAATGACGCGAATCGGCCTTCGGAGTTCGGTCCGATCGTGCGTGGGCGCGGTCTTTGCCGTCCGGCGTCCTCAGACACGACTCTGACCGCGACCATCATGAGACTTCAGAACTACGAATGCGTTTACCAGAAGCAACCATCAATGTTTTCGAGCCTCACGTCTCATCCTACATAAGCTAAGTCGGGATGGCTATGGCCGACACTGGCTAGCGAAGAGTCATCTTACCGCTGGTCGTTGTAATCATCGCACGGGATTCACAGCCCCGGACGATGCCAATGTATTGGCCAATCAAGTACGCTATGAGTTCATCCGAGCCCCTACGTTACTTGGCCTTCTGTTGTGTTACCTTCGGGTTCCTCGTCACCCCTTCTTTCGAGTCTCTGAACGGGGAGTTTGACTCTAATCAGAGACGACGTCTCTCGTCCAGAAAGCGTCTGCGGCGTTTCTTTCCGGCGTGGTGTACCTTCAGTCGCTTTCACCTTGCTACAGGACTCTGTAGGTGAGGTATGGCTGGCGGATGCTGGTGTGAGCTCGCCAAAACCGCCAGACTTGCCCTCCTCTTACAGAAGCAGAGGCTCACTCTGGCGCACTTCGCTTGAACTCTGCTGGAATGAGCCTACACATTTATCCGCATCTTCCAACGGAGATATGACGGCCTTGGCGGCCAGAGCTCGCCTTACCTTACTTACTGCTTTTGTGGGCCTGAGTCGCCATCATCGTCCGCCGACGGCTCCGTAGGCCTCCGCTCGCTCGTGTTTGAGCTCCTTGGAGGAAACCCGGACATATCGCGAGAGGACTCGTTGATGCTCTGGACTCTCGGTAAAGTGGCCGCTGGCGTTGGCCAGGGGAGGACCGGGCCGAGAGTGTGGTAGCCAACGCGGTCGCGTTCTCTACAAGAAACGGGGTCGGTAACTTTCGAAGAGCCCGTTTCACATTGTCCTCACAGGCGGGGACGGCCTGTAGTCACCAGTGAAGACTCGCCTGAGAAAAGCAGTGCTGTGTATTGCTATGTAGGCGCGTCAAGATACCGCCATGTACGCGGCCCGATCATTCTCTGAAACGGGAGACACTCCTGCGCGTTGATGTTTTCCCGGATATTTCTCAGCTTGGTCCAGCAGGCTGGCTGACTCGCGTGACCTTCACGGAATAGCTCTGCGCCTCTCGTGAGGGAGCGGGATCAGCCGCTGTGCTTTCGGCAATACCGACAAAGCCTGAGGTCGCGTTGTCGTCGTAGAAGCGCTTTAGAGCACTTGGGATGATAAGGGTTCCAATCAGCAGCACAGTGATATGACGAGAAGCACAGTGGTGTCTAATAGCCTCTGGACCACGCTACTCCGTACTGTGGCTCAAGCCCAATGACGATACTTGACTGTAGCACTTGGCGTCGGAGTCCCATGTATCTGATTGACATGAGGGATCAAACCCTTTGAGCCCGGGACATACCTTCGGCTCAAACATGAGCTGTATGAATACATTGTCATGGGCTATATCCCGACTATCATCCGCATACCTATCCGGAGCTGAGCTGAAACCGTGAAGATGCCGCGGCATTTGCCGACCGTTGGAACCCCCGGCGGGCGCGAGACGCGCCTTCTTCGCAACGACCACGACAACCTAACATTGTCCCCCCCATAGACGCGTAAACACTCCGGTCCCTCAATATTCACCTTGTGTTGTGGCGCAGGCACCGGGTCCGGGGCTTCTTCATAATGGCGAGTTGCGTTGTTTTGAGTTGACTCGCGCGGACTTCGCGCTCGATGTGCCTGACGATGAACCGCATCCGCGGCATGATTCCCCCCGCGCACCGACTTCAACATTTTCTATCTCTTCGAGCAGTCCACCCGCAGACACGCGGTAAGGCCGAGGATTTAAAGAACTGCGAGCACTATTTGATCGCGCAAGAACGGGCGCGAGGCGATGCGTTGGACGCTCGCAATTAGCCCCACAAAGGTGTCACACGAGCTAAACACGGCGACGCAGGCGCGGGCAGTCACCTGTAATGATCGGACGCGGGCGAACTCGACTTGGCCCACTGCGCAGATTCAGTATCTCTCAGTGGGCCTGGTGAAGCAGGTACAGAAGCGCTTGAGATATCGGGGACCAGTAGAGCGGTTTCAACCCGACGCAGTTTCGTGTCGGGTAAGGGCGAACTCATATCCATGCAGAGCAACTCAGCTGTGAAGATGGAATGCTGACTTACCACGGCCTCTGAACTTTCGAAAACCTGCGTATATATACCCGCACGCGACCGACTTGGTGTCTGTGCCCGCCGCTACCTTGGTCCTTCCTCTGTTGAGTTGTAGCGCCATGTCTACACCTTCCGAACACTCAGCACCGACCGCCAAGTCGCGACCAGAGTCTTTGCTCACTGTCACTGTCGCTGGCGACGTTGCCCCCTCCATGAAGTCCAAAGAGGTGGACAACTCCGATGCCGGCTCTCTCCCCGCCACTACCATCGGTCTTCCTCCAGGCGCCACCCGCAAGGGCGACACCCTCATCATCGATTGGGATGGCCCCGAAGACCCCGGGAACCCAAAGAAGTGCGTAGTCTATCTGGTTCGGGCGGACAATAGTCTGACCGCTTTTGTAGCTGGACGCAATTCAAGAAGTGGCGATCAATGATCATTGTCTCTTCATTCACATTCATTTCTCCGGGTGTGTACGAGCGCACAGTTGTACTCTCACGTTTCCTGACACCATTATTCAGTTTCCTCCTCTATGATTGCCCCCGGGATGGCGCAACTGCAAGAAGCCTTCGGTATCACATCTACCGCATTGTTGGCCATGACTACCAGTATATTCGTGTTGGCATACGGTTCGTTCATCTCTACTCCCGGCCTTCTATACTGTTATTCTGACTCGCATCCCAAGCCTTTGGACCTTTGTTGCTTGGGCCCCTCTCCGAGATGTACGGTCGGACGCGTGTGTTGCAAATCGCGAACATGTGGTATCTAGCTTGGAATCTCGGTGCGTCGCGTCTTTCTCTCTGTCATCGAGCTACATTATAACAGGCTGACTTTTCTCCAGGTTGTAGCTTCGCGCAGAGTCAAGGACAGCTCATCGCCTTCCGTTTCCTGGCGGGACTGGGCGGGTCCGCACCGCTAGCTGTACGCATGTTCCTCATCTCCAAACCTTCGTCTGACTGACGCGCTGTAGATTGGCGGCGGTGTCATTGGCGACCTCTTCACTCCTGAGCAGCGAGGCCAGGCTATAGCTATCTACTCCTTGGCGCCCCTCTTGGGGCCCGTCATCGGTCCAATCTGTGGTAAGGTTAGGGTTACTCTGCGAGACGCGCTTTGCTCATGTATCGCAGGTGCTTGGATTGCTCAGAAGTCCACATGGCGCTGGGTCTTCTGGTCGACAACGATTGTCGACGCGACAGTGCAGTTGTTGGGTCTATTCTATCTTCGTGAGAGTATGTCGTGCCCTGACCGGGACGGATACGAGTGCTCATCGTAACTTCATAGCATATGCGCCCGTCCTTCTTGAACGACGAGCGGAGGCACTTCGGAGAGGTACCGACGTAGAGAAGAACGTCGAGATTCTCACAGTCTATGAAGAGAAGATGAGCCGAGAGTACGTTTTGTATTAGGGCGTCTTGACATGCATTCTGATCAGTCTTCCAGTTGGAAGGTGGTCATGAAGAAGGCTCTCGTCCGGCCGCTGGTTCTTTTCTACCACGAGCCCATCATTCAGCTTCTCGGCGTCTACATGTACGTGCACATCAGGTTCTCTTGTTCCGGCTGAGCTGACCTACGAACCAGGGCTTTGATCTATGGCATACACTACTTGTCGCTGACAACTATCCCCGGGATCTTCCAAGGGGTCTACCACGAACCTATCGGCATCGCTGGACTCAACTACATTGCTCTCGGCATCGGCATTACAGGAGCGTCGCAGATCAACGCCCGTATGCTGGATTTCATCTACCGCAAGCTCAAGGAGCGCAATGGTGGTGCCGGAAAGCCCGAGTACAGGCTACGTATGTCCTTCGACCTCGATTACCTGCACACAGACTCATTTCGTTGTCTACAGCTGCCATGTTCCCCGGCACAGTCATTCTACCCGTTGGCCTTTTCATGACGGGGTGGACCGCTCGCGCCGATGTCCATTGGATTGTCCCTGACATTGGCATCACGTTGATCGGCGCGGGTCTGATCCTTCCTTACCAGGCCATACAGACGTACATCATCGACGCATTCACCCTTCATGCCGCTTCAGCATTGGCAGCAGCGGCCTTCCTTCGCAGTGTGTGCGCCTTCAGTTTCCCGCTATTCGCCCCTGTAGGTGCAAGCCAACCCCGGACAAGTACTTTTAAGCTGACTTTTCGTGTAGGCAATGTACTCTGCCCTTGGCTACGGGAAGGGGAACTCCATTCTTGGAGCGGTCGCGATCGTTATCGGCTGCCCCGCACCCTACCTCTTCTGGCACTACGGCGAGCGCATCCGCAAGGCGAGCCGTTTCGCGCACAAGTCCTGATTGTTCTCGATCTGCACCTTTCTTGATGCTTGTCCCCATGCCGTCGCCGGTGACGCTCACGAGCTTCCCATGTATCTATCTGTATATATCCCGCATCGTTCCGCCTTTCCGGTCTTGGGTCTCTTTCGTCTTATCGCCCATACTGTATCATACATCGCTCTCCTATATCGTCTCTTGGTCACTTACCGGTCACTTCTTATATGGTCGTACACCCTAGTAGTCTTCACTGTTTCATAGTATGCGTCCTCTCCCCTAGCTTTGTAGCACTTGACTTACTTGCCTTTAATATTACAACCCATTTTAATGCAGTTTCAGCGCTTGAGCGCTATCAAGGGCTTAGCAAAAAATGCATGGGTAAACACGGGCACTACATGGTAGGAAGCGAGAACAAGTTTAGGTCTCAGTGAGAGGCTGGACGAGGAGATTGTACCCCTTGTCGGGGATAAGGCGGCATCGGCCGAGCGCTCGGGCCCGCGTGCCGCGAACAAGCCGCGAATCCGCTGCCGGCGGAGACGCGTCTCTTGACGGCAACGACGAGGACATCCACATACGGACATAGTACTGCTGTTCAAATGCTTGATCTGCATGTTCGCCTTAGCGGGTCTTATGCGTCGCAATGTGGGTGATGCCGACCCACCGTGCCACACGTTTAAAGAGCTTGTCCGCGATGAGCGCTCAACGCGTCAACCTGCACCCCATTCGAGTTGTTCGCCTCCTTCATAACCAGATTATATTACTGAATCCCCATCATGCGCGTACTACTCACTGGCGCAACTGGGTGGGTCATTGCGATCCAACTTTTCAACTCTGGTCAGCTCACGGTATTGCAACATAGCGCGGCTGGCCTTGGTGCTCTACGGGCGCTTCTCACGGACGAGAAGATCACACAAGTGACGATTCTCGCCCGGCGTCCCCTTCCTGCGTGGGTCGAATTACCCGGAGGCACACCTGCACCTTCCAAAGACGGTTCGCCGACGCACCCCAAACTTCGTACTGAGGTCCTCTCCAACTTCAAGTCATACCCTACGGAGCTGCTCAGTGGCCACGACGGTGCCATTTGGGCGCTTGGCAAGTCGCAACGCGGAATGAGCGAGGCGGACTACACAGAAATGACGCTTGGATATTGGGATGCATTCATCGAGTCGACGAAAGCGGCAGGACTGGGCAAGCCGGAAAGCCCATTCCGCGTCGTTTTCATCAGCGGCAACGGTGCCGATTCCAGTGAGAAGAGTCGGATATTGTTTGCCCGTGTTAAGGTCGGTTGGCTTCGTTTATCCTCTGAACTTCCATACTGACTGGATCACATAGGGCAAAGCCGAGAACCACATCATCGCCCGCGAGAAGGAGTCCGACGGAGCCGTACTTGCCACTATCCTACGCCCAGGCTACTTCTTCCCATCACTCAAGTACCCCGCCGATGCCCTCAACACGCGTGGGGCGTTCGAACGAGGACTGGACACGGTTCTGGGTGGGTTCGGACGATGGGCCATGGGTATCACCGTCGAGGATATGGGTCGCTTTGCGACGGAGGCGGTTAAGGGTACCTGGGACGGCAAGGGCCCCATCTACGAGAATTGGGATATGAAGAAGCTTCTGAAGACGCTTTCTTCATAGAGGCTCGGTTGTGTGCTTTTCCTGTCATGCGCTTTCTCCGGTTACCTTCTTATCCTTACATGGTCTCATATACCCGCGTTCTCTGTACGTTCCTGTCAATCCAATGCCTTGCGCCCAGAGCGCCACTGAAGAGGGAGATTCAACTGTACGAGGACACCTCGTCATCCACCTGCTTTTGGCAAAACGTCAATCAAGGCTCCGTGGTGCCTCTTCATGATGACTTGACGTCTCCTCGTCCGAGGTCATGTGCGTCGTGTTCTTACTCTCGAAATAGCTTCATGGCTCCCCACTTGATGTTATTCCTCTCCACAGGCGATTGACAGCGGAACCTGGCGTATACTGTGCGTTATCACGGAGCTTTCAAACAGTCTATAACTACAGGCCTCCCGCGGTGGCGCCAATTCGCTTCCATTCCACGCCTCTTACCAACATGTCGACGCCCTCGGGCCCGAAGAATGGCCCGACTATCTGGGAGGTCGTCTCCTTCCGCGCGACCAAGGACTATGTCAATAATCCGAGCCTCTTCGAGCCGGTCACACGTACGGTCAGCCAGCATACCTCCCACGGGTCAGTTCACAGTCTCCCCATGATGAGAGGTTTGGTTTAACCCTAAGGCGACAGCATATACACTGGACTTCAGATCGAAGAACCCACGAATCGCGTCACATCATTCACGGGATGGGACTCAATCGAGCAACACGTTGCTGTGAGTTCTCTCTGAGATCGTCCATAAGCGCCATTCAATGGCATCCGTCCTCAGTTTACGAAGACGTCGACCTTCGCGCGACTGACACCGCATGTCGCCAATTGTACGACCGAGGAGCCAGAGGTCAGACATGTATCCTTCGAAGGCGACGGAGACGAGCTTTTGGCTCTCCGTGCGCCAGTAACTGAACTTGCCTGGATGACGCCTAAACCTGGAGTCGACGATACCGAGTTTCAGCAAGCCGTGAAGCTCGGAACAGAGCTCTTCCACAAGGACGAGCGGTGCTTGGGCGCAGCTTGGGGAATGGTCATCGAACCGGTGTCATTGAAGAACATGGCCGTGTACGTCGCGGGTTGGAACTCCAAGGAGGTAAGCAGCTTTGTTTATCATATCAGTCATCTATCTTGATGCCAGCATGTATTCATAGGAGCGTGAGGAGGTTGTCGAAGCTCTCTTCAAGGAGATGCATGCTCGCTCTGAAGGCGTTCGGGGCGCCGATGGCAAGCAAGCCAAGAGCTACGACGAGATTTCCGATCTTACGCTTCTGCACCTCAAACTGCGTCCGGGTCGCGACTGAGGCTGCTACCGATTTCGCGTCCGAAGTAGAGAAGGAACAGCCGTCGCTGTTGTGGCGATGCGCCGTCGATACGTAGATTTCGGCAAGAGCGGCATCGATCACGGCAATCACCGGCGACTTCTTTCGAGTTGACGCTCGTTGGTCTCTCTTCCCGCCTCCTGCCATTATCGCCCGCAACAAGCGCAACTTCTGCTGCCTCGAGCGCGAGGGATAGCGCACCGTTCAATGAATCTCTGTAGTTTCGTCTGTGCGGTCGAGAATATCAGGACATCTATTGAACTTGGCTGTACATACCCAGTCCAAATGGGTCTATCAGGTCCTGAGACGGCTTATCCGCCTTTCCAATACGCATATTCCGCGTCATGTCATCTAGCTGCCTCTATGCTTGATTCCACGTATAAGACGAGCCGTAGGCCAATGCAAGACTGATCACCGCTTCCTCGCCTACGCTCGGGAGTCTCATTCGACAGCTACTCAATCTTCCCAGCTTTTCACCGTCGACGCCATGCCCGCTGTCACTTCTGTCCTCTCCCAGATGTTCCCAGGAAAACCGAAATGGTCTGTCGATGAGATCTCTGACTTGTCGGGTAAAGTCATGCTCGTCACGGGGGGCAACACTGGTATTGGGCGCGAGACTGTCAAGGTACATCACCTCATGGCCACTTACTCGCAAGGTACTAACTGAGGCTACTTCAAAGGTCTTACTCCAGCATAACGCCAAAGTATATCTCGCTGCGAGAAACCAAGCAAAGGCTACTGCCGCTATCGAAGAACTCGAGAGGGAGACCAGCAAGACGGCCGTCTTTCTCAAGCTGGACTTGTCCGACCTGACATCTATCCGCGCCGCCGCCGACGAGTTTATGAAGTTCGTGCACCCTCTTTTGTCTGTACAAACATACGTACTGAGATTGTAACGCAGCAAAGAACCTCTATTGCACGTCCTGTTCAACAGCGCAGGCGTCATGGCTTGTCCTCTCGACCAGTACACCGCCCAAGGCTTCGACATGCAGATCGGCACAAACGTCATCGGACACTTCTTCCTCACGCAGTGCCTCTTGCCGGCTTTACGCGCCGTGAAGACGCAGACGGGGCAGAAGGCGCGCGTTGTGACGACGTCGTCATCGTCGCAGTATGTGGTCAGCAAGTTCAACTACGATCTTGCGCGTGATGGACCGGCGAGGAAGAAGTCGTCGTCGTTGGATGTGTATAACGTCAGCAAGCTTGTACGTCCTCGCAGTCCATGTGGCCCGGACGTGATACTGATGGGGCTCTGGCATAGGGCAACGTTATCTTCGCTAACGAGCTCGCGAGGAGGCACGGCGATAGCATAGTATCATCGTCAGTTAATCCGGGGAACCTCAAGACCGACCTCCAGAGGCATCTGAATGGCGTTCAGGCGAAGATCATTGTGAGGAGTCGGTGAACCTCTGTGGGTTTCATCGGGTTCTGATGACCATGCAGAACTCACTCTTGTACCCGGCACCATGGGGCGCGCTCAGCCAGCTGTACGCCGGCACGATGCCCGAGGGCGACAAGCTGAACGGGAAGGTTCGTCGCAACTCCCCCTGGCCTCTGTGAGTTGCTGATGATGGAGCACAGTTCCTCATTCCCTGGGCACGCGTGGGTGGTACGAATAAGGCGACGCTGGACGAGAAGGAGGGCAAGAAGTTCTGGAGCTGGCTGGAGGAGCAGACCGCGGCTTATCGCGGTCCCGAGCAGTCGTGACTGGTGTGACTAGTAGCCTTGCCTATCTCGTGCTCCGTGTTCCCTCAGTACTATACTAGCGTAGACCCGTGCTCCGCACGGGCTGACCGTTTGCACACGTGGATCGTT